CACTCTCCGTTTTTCAAACTCTTGTCTCTCTCTCTTACACACTCTCTCTCTCTCGAACTCTCTCTCCCACTATCATACTACGGGGGTTTTCCCCCTTTTTTCTGGCAACAAAAACTGAAACCTTTTTTTATACAAGGATTCATGTTGCTGCATCAACCACAATACTTGCAGTCAAAATGCAAACAAAAAACACGCTTTGATAATATGATGATGCATTGTCCTTGGAACTGATTGGTCCACACCAGGGACAGCTTTCCTTAGAGCCGAGTCTCAATTGGTGCTAGACCAGATGACGCCAAAAGGCTGTACAGCTCAAAGACAATGCCGCTATGAGGGCTCTGGGTAAGCATCTACATCATTGGACCTCCTTTTGCCAGTAACAAAATATAATGATAGCGTTTGTTCTCCCAATCTCGCTTCAACTCTCTCTTTCCAACTCTCACTCATCTCTCTATCTCACTCTCGCGCTCTCTCTCTGGCAAAATGACTCTCTCACACGCTCTCGAACTCCCTCGTTATCTCTGTTACCTTATCAGCTCTAAATATGCACGCGATCGTAGACCTCTGTATATAGATACACAGCGCATCAGGATATTTATACTGGAGCAGGAGGAATCCGAAGAGCTTTGGAGCATTTTTGATTTGAAGCTTTCGTGACTGCAGGGATTCATCTTCTCGGTTATTTTGGTGAAGTCAATGAAATAGAAAAATAAAAATAAAAAGAAGTAAAATAATAAAATTACGATAAGAAAATTTTACTTTAAATAATAAGTTTAAAATAATAAAAGCAACTTTTTATTTATTTATTTTTGTTTTCTATTTACGTGACTTTGCCGAAGGAACCAAGAATATGTACAAATAAACACAACGATTTTCATCTCAGCAGATATAAGGCCCACCGAGATATGAACTTATTTTTCAGAAGCGACTTAACGTGTGAACATTTACTGCAGTAATGCTGAATAATCTAAATGCACGTTTCTAAATTATTAATAGTTCCCGCTTAAATTTTGATTGAAAGCTTTCGTGACTGCAGGGATTCATATTCTTGGTTCCTTCGGTAAAGTCACCACCACGTAGATAGGGAAACAATAAAATAATAAAAATGTAAAACAATAAAATTATTGTAAAATATTAAACACAACATTCACAATCTGAGTACTGAGTACAATCGCAATCAGTACGTTACTAGTACAGCACTAACCGCTTGTGTGTTGGAGAGTAAATCCACAACAACATTTACAATCTGAGTACTGAGTAGAATCACAATCAGTCCGTTACTAGTACAGCACTAGCCGCTTGTGTGTTCGAGAGTAAATCCACAACATTCACAATCTGAGTACTGAGTACATTCACAATCAGTACGTTACTAGTACAGCACTAACCGCTTGTGTGTTGGAGAGTAAACCCACTACAAATTTACAATCTGAGTACTGAGTACAATCACAATCAGTCCGTTACTAGTACAGCACTAGCCGCTTGTGTGTTGGAGAGTAAACCCACTACAACATTTACAATCTGAGTACTGAGTACAATCACAATCAGTGCGTTACTAGTACAGCACTAACCGCTTGTGTGTTGGAGAGTAAACCCACTACAACATTTACAATCTGAGTACTGAGTACAATCACAATCAGTGAGTTACTAGTACAGCACTAGCCGCTTGTGTGTTGGAGAGTAAATCCACAACAACATTTACAATCTGAGTACTGAGTACAATCACAATCAGCGCGTTACTAGTACATCACTAGCCGGTTGTGTGTTGGAGAGTAAACCCACTACAACATTTACAATCTGAGTACTGAGTACAATCACAATCAGTGCATTACTAGTACAGCACTAACCGCTATTGTGTTTGAGAGTAAACCCACTACAACATTTACAATCTGAGTACTGAGTACAATCACAATCAGTCGGTTACTAGTACAGCACTAACCGCTTGTGTGTTGGAGAGTAAATCCACAACAACATTCACAATCTGAGTACTGAGTAGAATCACAATCAGCGCGTTACTAGTACAGCACTAACCGCTTGTGTGTTGGAGAGTAAACCCACAACAACATTTACAATCTGAGTACTGAGTACAATCACAATCAGTGCGTTACTAGTACAGCACTAGCCGCTTGTGTGTTGGAGAGTAAATCCACAACAACATTTACAATCTGAGTACTGAGTACAATCACAATCAGTGTGTTACTAGTACAGCACTAACTGCTTGTGTGTTGGAGAGTAAACCCACTACAACATTTACAATCTGAGTACTGAGTACAATCACAATCAGTGCGTTACTAGTACAGCACTAACCGCTTGTGTGTTGGAGAGTAAATCCACAACAACATTTACAATCTGAGTACTGAGTACAATCACAATCAGTCCGTTACTAGTACAGCACTAGCCGCTTGTGTGTTGGAGAGTAAACCCACTACAACATTTACAATCTGAGTACTGAGTACAATCACAATCAGTACGTTACTAGTACAGAACTAGCCGCTTGTGTGTTGGAGAGTAAAGCCACAACAACATTTACAATCTGAGTCCCGTGACGTTTCGCCAGTAACTACAACGAGCATCATCAGGTGGCAGCCAGATCTGTGTGGAGAAATCATCCTCCTGTTTGGTTCCTTAAATAGAGGCGTAGGTGTGATGACGTCACTTGTGACGTCATCACATCTACGCGAAGTGGTGGGGAGGGGGATTAATGAATGCATCTAAATGACAATGGGTGTCCATTGGCGGCTGGGTTATTTAACGGGCTTAACGACAGATTAATGTACTTATGCAATCTAACACAGACAAAAACCTGTATTGTGGATGATATTGGTCGCGAAAAGCCTGCTGCGTTGTTAGACGAACAAAACACAATACTCACAGACGCGATAGGAGTGCAAAGTATAGCAAATGTATTCGAATCACTTACAAATATACACAAACAACACTAAGCTTCGATACACTCAACTGCTTTGTATTGTTACGAGCTAAGGGGCTTTCTCCGAAGCGACGCTGGCCGCTACAAACGATAGCAGCTCAACCAAGTAGTGGCTTTATCTTCGCGGGGAAATTTACAGCAGCAGCAGCATCCTCTAAATAATGTAGACGCAAGCGTGGAGCCCGGGGTTTGCTTCTGAGATTCAGCCACTGCCTGTGGTAAAACGACGTTCGCAGGTGTAGTGAGTTGATGGACTCACCAGTGACTCACACAGAGAGTCCCATAGGCTCACACAGAGACCTATAGAGTCACACGGAGACTCCCATAGACTCCCACAGAGACCCACACAACTCGCAAAGAGACCCACAGACTCACCACACAGAGAACCCACAGACTCACCACACAGAGAACCCACAGATTCACCACACAGAGAACCCACAGAATCTCCACACAGAAACTCACCACACAGAGACCCACACAACTCACACAGAGACCTACAGACTCACACAGAGAACCCACAGACTCACCACACAGAGACCCATAGACTTACCACACAGAGACTCACCACAGAGACCCACACAACTCGCAAAGAGACCCACAGACTCACCACACAGAGAACCCACAGACTCACCACACATAGAACCGACAGACTCACCACACAGAGACCCACAGACTCACACAGAGACCCACAAACTCACTACACAGAGAAGCCATAGACTCTCCACCAGAGACTCACCACACAGAGGCCCACACAACTCACACAGAGACCTACAGACTCACACAGAGAACCACAGACTCACCACACAGAGACCCACAGACTCACCAAACAGAGACCCACAGACTCACACAGAGACCCACAAACTCACTACACAGAGAAGCCATAGACTCTCCACCAGAGACTCACCACACAGAGACCCACAGACTCACCACAGAGAGACTCACACAACTCACACAGAGACCTACAGACTCACCACACAGAGACCCACAGACTCACCACAGAGAGACTCACACAACTCACACAGAGACCTACAGACTCACACAGAGAACCACAGACTCACCACACAGAGACCCACAGAGACTCACCACACAGACAACCCACAGAGGACAATACCAATCTAAACCGGGTGGTTGTCTCCGTGCTGTGTGTCACGTCTCCCGTCCGCTCACCACGACCACCCCCACCCCACCACCACTACGACCACCACCACGACTACCACCACCACTACCATTACCAACACTACCACCACCCCACCACCACCACCCCACCACCACCACTACCACCACCACTACCACCACCCCACTACCACCACTACCACCACCCCACCACCACCACCCCACCACTACCACCACCACCACCCCACTACCACCACCACCCCACTACCACCACCACCCCCACCACTACCACCACCACCACCCCACCACCACCACCACTCACCACCACCACCCCACCACCACCACCTCACTACCACCACCACTACAACCACCACCACCACCCCACCACTACCACCACCACCCCACCGCCACCACCACCACCCACACCACACTCACCACCACCACCCCACCACTACCACCACCCCACCACTACCACCACCACTCACCACCACCACCACTCACCACCACCACCACCACCCCACCACCACCACTACCACCACCACCCCACCACCACCACCTCACTACCACCACCACCACCACCACTACAACCACCACCACCACCCCACCACTACCACCACCACCACCACCACCCCACCACCACCACCCCACTACCACCACCACCACCACTACAACCACTACCCCACCGCCACCACCACCACCCACACCACACTCACCACCACCACCCCACGACCACCACCACTACCACCACCACCCCACCACCACCACCCCACTACCACCAAAACCACCACTACAACCACCACCCCACTACTACCACCACCACCCCCACCACCACCACCACCCCACCACCACCACCTCACTACCACCACCACCACCACTACAACCACCACTCCACTACTACCACCACTACAACCACCACCACCACCACCCCACCACCACTCACCACCACCCCCCCGTGCCCCAGGCCGCCTGCTGGACGTGCCGTGCCGCGTGTGTGGTGACCGCTCCTCGGGCCGCCACTACGGCGTCTTCGCCTGCGACGGCTGCTCCGGCTTCTTCAAGAGGAGCATCCGGAGGAACCGCGCCTACGTCTGTAAGGCGTCCAGTCAGGTAGGTGCCGTGGTGGTGAGTGGTGGTAGTGGTGGTGTGGTGGTGGTGAGTGGTGGTGGTGGTGAGTGGTGTTGGTGGTGGTGAGTGGTGTTGGTGGGGTGGTGGTGGTGAGTGGTGGTAGTGGTGGTGGTGAGTGGTGGTAGTGGTGGTGGTGGTAGTGATGGTGAGTGGTGGTGGTGGTGAGTGGTGGTGGTAGTGGTGGTAGTGGTGGTGGTGGTGGTAGTGGTGGTGGTAGTGGTGGTAGTGGTGGTGGTAGTGGTGGTAGTGGTGGTGGTAGTGGTGGTAGTGGTGGTGGTAGTGGTGGTGGTAGTGGTGGTGGTAGTGGTGGTAGTGGTGGTAGTGGTGGTGGTAGTGGTGGTAGTGGTGGTGGTAGTGGTGGTAGTGGTGGTAGTGGTAGTGGTGGTAGTGGTGGTGGTAGTGGTGGTAGTGGTGGTGGTAGTGGTGGTAGTGGTGGTAGTGGTGGTGGTAGTGGTGGTGGTAGTGGTAGTGGTGGTAGTGGTGTTGGTAGTGGTGGTAGTGGTGGTAGTGGTGGTGGTAGTGGTGGTGGTAGTGGTGGTAGTGGTGGTAGTGGTAGTAATAGTAGTGGTGGTGGTGGTAGTGGTGGTGGTAGTGGTGGTAGTGGTGGTGGTGGTAGTGGTGGTAGTGGTGGTAGTGGTAGTGGTGGTAGTGGTGGTGGTAGTGGTGGTGGTAGTGGTAGTAGTGGTGGTAGTGGTGGTAGTGGTGGTGGTGGTAGTGGTGGTAGTGGTAGTGGTGGTAGTGGTGGTAGTGGTGGTGGTGGTAGCGGTGGTGGTAGTAGTGGTGGTAGTGGTGGTGGTAGTGGTGGTAGTGGTGGTGGTAGTGGTGGTGGTAGTGGTGGTAGTGGTGGTGGTAGTGGTAGTAGTGGTGGTAGTGGTGGTAGTGGTGGTGGTGGTGGTAGTGGTAGTGGTGGTAGTGGTGGTGGTGGTGGTAGTGGTGGTAGTGGTGGTGGTAGTGGTGGTAGTGGTGGTGGTAGTGGTGGTGGTGGTAGTGGTGGTAGTGGTGGTAGTGGTGGTGGTAGTGGTGGTAGTGGTGGTGGTGGTGTTAGTGGTGGTAGTGGTGGTAGTGGTGGTGGTAGTGGTGGTAGTCGTGGTAGTGGTGGTGGTAGTGGTGGTGGTAGTGGTGGTAGTGGTCGTAGTGGTAGTGGTGGTAGTGGTCGTAGTGGTAGCGGTGGTGGTAGTAGTGGTGGTAGTGGTGGTGGTAGTGGTGGTAGTGGTGGTGGTAGTGGTGGTGGTAGTGGTGGTGGTAGTGGTAGTAGTGGTGGTAGTGGTGGTAGTGGTGGTGGTGGTAGTGGTGGTAGTGGTGGTGGTAGTGGTGGTAGTGGTGGTAGTGGTGGTAGCTGATGGGATGTCCGCGTGGTTTGTTCCTGCAAACTGAAACCCGAACCGGCTCAATGCTTCACCGAGTCAGGGCCCGTTGAGCTCGGAGTCCCCTTCAGATACAATCTATGATGTTAAAATAAAAACTCTTTATTTTCCTACCATAATTATTTAGTTTTGTTACAAATCACATCCTCTCACTCTGCTCAGTCGGCGGAGTGAGAGGGGTAGCTAGGAGATGTTGACTACCTCGCCTGGTATACAGGAGGTCGTGAGTTCGATCCCGACCCTGACGATGCCTGCTGCTGCTGCTGTAGATTTGGAGTCTGCGTCTCTCTCTCATCATCATCACGGTGGCTAAGAGATGTTAACTACCTTCCATGGTATACAGGAGGTCGTGAGTTCCATCCAGACCCTGACGATGCCTGCTGCTGCAGTATATTTGGAGTCTGTGTCTCTCTCTCATCATCACGGTGGCTATGAGATGTTGACTACCTCGCCTGGTATACAGGATTCCTTTGTCAAGGGGTGCCTCTGTGGATGTGGATGTTTTAACTTTAACATAGACATTTCTGTGACCAGTCACAAGCTAATCACTCCGCTGTTTCAATGCTAAATTATATGCTAATTCCTTTGTCAAGGCGCTCTGTTTCTTCTCACACAGCTTAAAGGTCGCGATCTGAGCGTGGCTTTTTCGCTCCAGCGCTGTCCTCCAGACAGTCTCGTCCCTTCACCTGATGAAGGCCGCTTGTGTTGTGGCCGAAACGTCGTGACAATTTTATTGTGTTATTTTATTTTATCAATTTATTATTTTATTCTCATTCTACGTGGTGGTGACTTTACCGAAAGGACCAAAGAAGAGGAGGTTGTGAGTTCGATCCCGACCCTGACGATGCCTGCTGCTGTAGATTTGGAGTCTGCGTCTCTCTCTCATCATCATCATCACGGTGGCTATGAGATGTTGACTACCTCGCCTGGTATACAGGAGGTCGTGAGTTCGATCCCGACCCTGACGATGCCTGCTGCTGCTGTAGATTTGGAGTCTGCGTCTCTCTCTCATCATCATCATCACGGTGGCTATCAGATGTTGACTACCTCGTCTGGTATACAGAAGGTCGTGGGTTCCACCACCATCATCATCACGGTGGCTATCAGATGTTGACTACCTCGCCAGGAATACAGGAGGTCGTGAGTTCGATCCCGACCCTGACGATGCCTGCTGCTGTAGATTTGGAGTCTGCGTCTCTCTCTCTCTCTCATCATCATCACGGTGCCTAGGAGATGTTAACTACCTCGCCCGGTATACAGGAGGTCGTGAGTTCGATCCCGACCCTGACGATGCCTGCTGCTGCTGTAGATTTGGAGTCTGCGTCTCTCTCTCCCAGCGGTGTTCACGTGGGTTTTTCTCCGCTTCCCCGCCTCCATATTTAGAATCAACATCACCACGCCTTCAATGTATTTGCCTGCTGCTATAAATTCCTACACGGCGAGGACGATGACGACGAATGATCCCACGTGGTGGAGCTGCTACATAGCAGCTCAGCGGGGGGGGGGGGGTCTTACATCCTGGTAACAAAAAAAAATGTACTTTTAGTGTGGGTCTCTATGGGTATCTGTGGATCTCTGTGGGTCTCTATGGGTCTCTGTGGGTCTCTATGGGTCTCTGTGGGTGTCTGTGGGTCTCTGTGGGTGTCTGTGGGTCTCTGTGGTCTCTATGGGTATCTGTGGGTTTCTATGGGTCTCTATGTGTCTCTGTGGATCTCTGTGGGTCTCTTTGGGTTTCTATGGGTCTCTATGGGTATCTGTGGGTGTCTGTGGGTTTCTATGGGTCTCTATGTATCTCTGTGGATCTTTATGGGTATCTATGGGTCTCTATGTGTCTCTGTTGATCTCTGTGGGTCTCTGTGGGTTTCTATGGGTATCTGTGGGTCTCTGTGGGTGTCTGTGGATTTCTATGGGTCTCTATGTATCTCTGTGAATCTATATGGGTCTCTATGGGTCTCTGTGGGTCTCTATGGGTTTCTGTGGGTCTCTATGGGTATCTGTGGGTGTCTATGGGTGTCTGTGGGTTTCTATGGGTCTCTATGTATCTCTGTGGATCTCTATGGGTATCTATGGGTCTCTGTGGGTCTCTATGGGTATCTGTGGTTCTCTATGGGTGTCTGTGGGTCTCTATGGGTCTCTGTGGGTTTCTATGGGTATCTGTGGGTCTCTATGGGTGTCTGTGGATCTCTATGGGTATCTATGGGTCTCTATGGGTCTATATGGGTATATGTGGGTCTCTATGGGTGTCTGTGGGTTTCTATGGGATTCTGTGCGTCATTATGGATCTCTGTGGGGTTCTATGGATCTCTATGGGTCTCTATGGGTCTCTGTTGGTCTCTATGGGTGTCTGTGGGTCTCTATGGGATTCTGTGGGTCTTTATGGATCTCAGTGGGGTTATATGAATCTCTATGGGTATCTATAGTTATATATGGGTCTCTATGGGTGTCTGTGAGTTTCTATGGGATTCTGTAGGTCTTTATGGATCTCAGTGGGGTTATATGAATCTCTATGGGTATCTATAGGTATATATGGGTCTCTATGGGTGTCTGTGAGTTTCTATGGGATTATGTGGGTATTTATGGATCTCTGTGGTGTTCTATGGATCTCTATGGGTCTCTATGGGTATCTGTGGGTCTCTATGGGTGTCTGTGGGTCTCTATGGGTGTCTGTGGGTCTCTATGGGATTCTGTGCGTCTTTATGGATCTCTGTGGGGTTCTATGAATCTCTATGGGTATCTATGGGTCTCTGTTGGTCTCTATGGGTGTCTGTGGGTCTCTATGGGATTCTGTGAGTCTTTATGGATATCTGTGGTGTTCTATGGATCTCTATGGGTATCTGTGGGTCTCTATGGGTGTCTGTAGGTATCTGTGGGTCTCTATGGGTGTCTGCGAGTCTAACGTGATAATAAATGTCACGTTAAATAGCTTCAAAAAGTCACGGAGTCTCGCCCACTCGTTCGCCTTCGTTCCCAACGCGTTGCCCTGGAATCTTCTCGAGGGGGTCCCCAGAGCCCGCACGAGGCACACTTCCCGTGGCGTCGTCCTTGCGAATCCTCAGCAGCGTTAAAACATGTCTCTTGAAGCACCCTTTATTATAAAATCACAACGACGCTACGCGCAAAACGTGCAGCGAGCGTGCCTGACGATAGTCGCCATTCGCGCACCAAACGACGGTGACGTCACCGCGTCGCCTGTGCCAGGCTAGGTGCACTTTGAGGCTGCCACGTGAAGTGTCGAAGGCTCTCTGGCTGACAGGAGGTCACGGGACAGACCCGGCAGGTGCCGTGGGTCGACCGACTGAGATGACCGTCAGATGCACCACCACCACCACCAGCTGTACCCCCCTGCTGTGCCAGGCTAGGTGCAGGAGGTCACGGGACAGACCCAGCAGGTGCCATGGGTTGGCTGACTGAGATGACCGTCAGATGCACCACCACCACCACCAGCTGTACCCCCCTGCTGTGCCAGGCTAGGTGCAGGAGGTCACGGGACAGACCCGGCAGGTGCCACCACCACCAGCTGTACCCCCCTGCTGTGCCAACTCGCTGCGTTTTAGCCGCCCGACGCGCCGCTCGTTGTTGTGAGCGTCGCTCCTCTGCCCTCCGTTGCTGCTGCATGGAGGGCGACTGCCTCCAAAACAAAGACAAAGATGCCCCGTATAGCCTGCAACAGACTGCTGGGACAAGTGCTGGTAGCGTGAAGTTGATTATAAATGTGGGGGCGGAGGGGGGGCAACCGGAGAACTCGGAGAAAAATCCACGCGCACACTGCGAGAGAGAGACGCAGACTCCAAATCTACAGCAGCAGCAGCAGGCATCGTCAGGGTCGGGATCGAACCCACGACCTCCTGCACACCAGGCGAGGTAGTTAACATCTCATAGCCACCGTGATGATGATGACAGAGAGAGAGAGACGCAGACTCAAAATATACAGCAGCAGCAGGCATCGTCAGGGTCGGGATCAAACTCACGATCTCCTGTATACCAGGCGAGGTAGTTAACATCTCATAGCCACCGTGGTGATGATGATGAGAGAGAGACACACAAACTCCAAATCAACAGCAGCAGCAGGCATCGTCAGGGTCGTGATAGAACCCACGACCTCCTGCGTACCAGGCGAGGTAGTCAACATCTCATAGCCACCGTGGCGTTCCCTTGGTCGAGAGGTCACGCACCCACGCGCGTTGTTGTTGTTGTTGACACTGGGTGCCTGCTGTTGTTGTTGTTGTTGACACTGGGAGCCTGCTGTTGTTGTTGTTGTTGACACTGGGAGCCTGCTGTTGTTGTTGTTGTTGACACTGGGTGCCTGCTGCTGTTGTTGTTGTTGTTGACACTGGGTGCCTGCTGCTGTTGTTGTTGTTGTTGACACTGGGTGCCTGCTGCTGTTGTTGTTGTTGATGACACTGGGTGCCTGCTGTTGTTGTTGTTGACACTGGGTGCCTGCTGTTGTTGTTGTTGTTGACACTGGGTGCCTGCTGTTGTTGTTGTTGACGCTGGGCGCCTGTTGCTGTTGTTGTTGTTGACACTGGGAGCCTGCTGTTGTTGTTGTTGACACTGGGAGCCTGCTGTTGTTGTTGTTGTTGACACTGGGTGCCTGCTGCTGTTGTTGTTGTTGACACTGGGTGCCTGCTGCTGTTGTTGTTGTTGTTGACACTGGGTGCCTGCTGCTGTTGTTGTTGTTGATGACACTGGGTGCCTGCTGTTGTTGTTGTTGACACTGGGTGCCTGCTGTTGTTGTTGTTGTTGTTGACACTGGGTGCCTGCTGTTGTTGTTGTTGACGCTGGGCGCCTGTTGCTGTTGTTGTTGTTGACACTGGGTGCCTGCTGTTGTTGTTGTTGACACTGGGCGCCTGTTGCTGCTGTTGTTGTTGTTGACACTGGGAGCCTGCTGTTGTTGTTGTTGTTGACACTGGGTGCCTGCTGCTGTTGTTGTTGTTGACACTGGGTGCCTGCTGTTGTTGTTGTTGTTGACACTGGGTGCCTGCTGCTGTTGTTGTTGTTGACATTGGGTGCCTGCTGCTGTTGTTGTTGTTGTTGACACTGGGTGCCTGCTGTTGTTGTTGTTGTTGACATTGGGTGCCTGCTGCTGTTGTTGTTGTTGACACTGGGTGCCTGCTGTTGTTGTTGTTGTTGACACTGGGTGCCTGCTGTTGTTGTTGTTGTTGACACTGGGCGCCTGCTGTTGTTGTTGTTGTTGACACTGGGCGCCTGCTGTTGTTGTTGTTGTTGATGACACTGGGTGCCTGCTGTTGTTGTTGTTGTTGACACTGGGTGCCTGCTGTTGTTGTTGTTGACACTGGGTGCCTGCTGCTGCTGTTGTTGTTGTTGACACAGGGCGCCTGCTGTTGTTGTTGTTGTTGACACTGGGTGCCTGCTGCTGTTGTTGTTGTTGACACTGGGTGCCTGCTGTTGTTGTTGTTGACACTGGGTGCCTGCTGTTGTTGTTGTTGTTGACACTGGGCGCCTGCTGTTGTTGTTGTTGTTGACATTGGGTGCCTGCTGCTGTTGTTGTTGTTGACACTGGGTGCCTGCTGTTGTTGTTGTTGACACTGGGTGCCTGCTGTTGTTGTTGTTGACACTGGGTGCCTGCTGTTGTTGTTGTTGACACTGGGTGCCTGCTGCTGTTGTTGTTGTTGACACTGGGTGCCTGCTGTTGTTGTTGTTGTTGACACTGGGTGCCTGCTGTTGTTGTTGTTGTTGACATTGGGTGCCTGCTGCTGTTGTTGACACTGGGTGCCTGCTGTTGTTGTTGTTGTTGACACTGGGTGCCTGCTGTTGTTGTTGTTGTTGTTGTTGACACTGGGCGCCTGCTGTTGTTGTTGTTGTTGACACTGGGCGCCTGCTGTTGTTGTTGTTGTTGTTGATGACACTGGGTGCCTGCTGTTGTTGTTGTTGTTGACACTGGGTGCCTGCTGTTGTTGTTGTTGTTGACACTGGGTGCCTGCTGCTGCTGTTGTTGTTGTTGACACAGGGCGCCTGCTGTTGTTGTTGTTGTTGACACTGGGTGCCTGCTGTTGTTGTTGTTGTTGACATTGGGTGCCTGCTGCTGTTGTTGTTGTTGACACTGGGTGCCTGCTGTTGTTGTTGTTGACACTGGGAGCCTGCTGTTGTTGTTGTTGACACTGGGTGCCTGCTGTTGTTGTTGTTGATGACACTGGGTGCCTGCTGTTGTTGTTGTTGTTGACACTGGGCGCCTGCTGTTGTTGTTGTTGACACTGGGCGCCTGCTGTTGTTGTTGTTGACACTGGGAGCCTGCTGTTGTTGTTGTTGACACTGGGAGCCTGCTGTTGTTGTTGTTGACACTGGGTGCCTGCTGTTTCTGCTGTTGTTGTTGACACTGGGTGCCTGCTGTTGTTGTTGTTGTTGACACTGGGTGCCTGCTGCTGCTGTTGTTGTTGTTGACACAGGGCGCCTGCTGTTGTTGTTGTTGTTGACACTGGGTGCCTGCTGTTGTTGTTGTTGACATTGGGTGCCTGCTGCTGTTGTTGTTGTTGACATTGGGTGCCTGCTGTTGTTGTTGTTGACACTGGGTGCCTGCTGTTGTTGTTGTTGTTGACACTGGGTGCCTGCTGTTGTTGTTGTTGTTGACACTGGGTGCCTGCTGTTGTTGTTGACACTGGGCGCCTGCTGTTGTTGTTGTTGTTGACACTGGGCGCCTGCTGTTGTTGTTGTTGATGACACTGGGTGCCTGCTGTTGTTGTTGTTGTTGACACTGGGTGCCTGCTGTTGTTGTTGTTGTTGTTGACACTGGGTGCCTGCTGCTGCTGTTGTTGTTGTTGACACAGGGCGCCTGCTGTTGTTGTTGTTGTTGACACTGGGTGCCTGCAGTTGTTGTTGTTGTTGACACTGGGTGCCTGCTGTTGTTGTTGTTGACACTGGGTGCCTGCTGTTGTTGTTGTTGATGACACTGGGTGCCTGCTGTTGTTGTTGTTGACACTGGCGCCTGCTGTTGTTGTTGTTGACACTGGGCGCCTGCTGTTGTTGTTGTTGACACTGGGCGCCTGCTGTTGTTGTTGTTGTTGACACTGGGTGCCTGCTGTTGTTGTTGTTGACACTGGGCGCCTGCTGTTGTTGTTGTTGACACTGGGCGCCTGCTGTTGTTGTTGTTGACACTGGGCGCCTGCTGTTGTTGTTGTTGACACTGGGTGCCTGCTGTTGTTGTTGACACTGGGTGCCTGCTGTTGTTGTTGTTGTTGACACTGGGCGCCTGCTGTTGTTGACACTGGGAGCCTGCTGTTGTTGTTGTTGACACTGGGTGCCTGCTGTTGTTGACACTGGGTGCCTGCTGTTGTTGTTGTTGACACTGGGTGCCTGCTGTTGTTGTTGACACTGGGTGCCTGCTGTTGTTGGTGTTGTTGACACTGGGCGCCTGCTGTTGTTGACACTTGGCGCCTGCTGTTGTTGTTGTTGACACTGGGTGCCTGCTGTTGTTGACACTGGGTGCCTGCTGTTGTTGTTGTTGTTGACTCTGTGTGTGCGCCACCGAACACCGACGCAATCCTTGACACGGGGCGGTTGCAGGGCTGAACCTTTACCTTTGTCCGCTGGGTGTGACGTGACCGCCCCCCATCACCCCCCCTCCCCCATCACCCCCCTCCCCCATCACCCCCCATCACCCCCCCCACCATCACCCCCCATCACCCCCCTATCAACCCCACCATCACCCCCCCCATCACTCCCCCATCACCCCCCCATCACCCCCTATCAACCCCACCATCACCCCCCCCCCCATCACCCCCCCCCCACCATCACTCCCCCATCAACCCCCCATCACCCCCCCCCCACCATCACCCCCCACCATCACCCCCCCATCACCCCCCCCCATCACCCCTCCCTCCAACCTCATCCCCCACCATCACCCCCCCCACATCACCCCCCATCACCCCCCCCCAACCCACCATCACTCCCCCATCAACCCACCATCACTCCCCCATCAACCCACCATCACTCCCCCATCAACCCCCCATCACTCTCTCCTCCATCACCCCCCTCCCCCATCACTCCCCCCCACCCACCATCACCCCCACCCACCATCCCCCCCCCATCATCACCCCCCCATCACCGCCCCCACCCCGCGTGCCTGCAGGGCGGCTGCCCTGTGGACAAGAGTCACCGCAACCAGTGCCGTGCGTGTCGCCTGCACAAGTGCCTGGCAGCCAGCATGAACAGGGACGGTGAGGTCCTGCTGCTGGCGACGGTGGTGGTGGTGGTGGTAGTGGTGGTGGTAGTGGTGGTGGTGGTAGTGGTGGTGGTGGTCGTGGTGGTGGTAGTGGTGGTGGTGGTAGTGGTGGTGGTGGTAGTGGTGGTGGTGGTGGTAGTGGTGGTGGAGGTAGTGGTGGTAGTGGTGGTGGTGGTTATGGTGGTGGTAGTGGTGGTGGTAGTGGTGGTGGTGGTAGTAGTGGTGGTGGTAGTAGTGGTGGTGGTAGTGGCCGTGGTGATAGTGGTGGTGGTCGTGGTGGTGGTGGCGGTCGTGGTGGTGTTGGAGCGCCCTCTCGTGGTGGGAGGCAGGGGGGCAGGGATGTGGGAGGGATGGGGAGGAGGGATGGGGGGAAGGGATGGGGAGGAAGGGATGGGGAGGAAGGGATGGGGAGGAGGGATGGGAGGAAGGGATGGGGAGGAAGGGATGGGGGAGGTAGGGAGGGTTATGAAGTAAAAACGTTCAAGTAGTCTAAGTGCACCAGAGCGTAGCTTGTGACCCTGCCAGCGAGTTGTGTTGTGAGCTGGTGTGAGGCCCCCACTGAGCTGCGTAGCTCTGCAGCGACCCGAGTCATCGCGACCGAAGTTGCTCCTCGTCGTGATTCATTCTCATCGCGTGGACACTTTATAGCAGCAGCCAAAAAACTCCCTAAACGCGCGGTGACCTTGACCCGGGAGAAAAATCCACTCGACCACAGAGAGAGAGAGACGCAGACTCCAAATCTACAGCAGCAGGCATCGTCAGGGTCGGGATCGAGCCCACGACCTCCTGTATACCAGGCGAGGTAGTCAACATCTCCTATCCACCGTGATGATCATGAGAGAGAGAGAGACGCAGACTCCAAATATACAGCAACAGGCATCGTCAGGGTCGGGATCGAACCCACGACCTCCTGCACACCAGGCGAGGTAGTCAACATCTCCTAGCCACCGTGATGATCATGAGAGAGAGACGCAGACTCCAAATATACAGCAGCAGGCATCGTCATGGTCGGGATCGAACCCACGACCTCCTGCACACCAGGCGAGGTAGTCAACATCTCCTAGCCACCGTGATGATCATGAGAGAGAGACGCAGACTCCAAATATACAGCAGCAGGCATCGTCAGGGTCAGGATCGAACCTACGACCTCCTGCATACCAGGAGAGGTAGTTAACATCTATCCACCGTGATGATGATGAGAGAGAGACGCAGACTCCAAATATACAGCAGCAGGCATCGTCAGGGTCAGGATCGAACCTACGACCTCCTGCATACCAGGAGAGGTAGTTAACATCTATCCACCGTGATGATGATGAGAGAGAGACGCAGACTCCAAATCTACAGCAGCAGGCATCGTCAGGGTCGGGATCGAACCCACGACCTCCTGCACACCAGGAGCGGCGGTCAACATCTCCTAGCCACCGTGGCGAGATGTTAAATAAAATTGCTGTACTAAGTACACCCACGACAAGCTTGGGCAAGGCAGCAAAACGACACCAACGAGAGCAAACCGGAATATTTTAGAATCGAAATCGCTCTTGATTTACCTCCTCTCTCCCCGCACCCCCTCCCGCTTTATCCCCATCACGGACAGCTGTGCAGCACGAAAGGGGCCCACGGACATCAACCATCCGCAAGCAGGTAGCGCTCTACTTTCGAGGGACGCAATATCACCACCAGCACCACCACCAGCACCACCAGCACCACCACCACCACCAACACCACCACCAACAGCAGCAGCAGCAGCCTGGGGTGGTGGCAGTAGTCGGAATGGCCCTGAGCTCGTCACCCGCAGCGCGGACACCGCGGAATCCCGAAGGCGGCGCCGCCACCACCACCGCCTCCGCCGCCTCCACCGCCTCCACCGCCTCCGCCGCCACCACCGCCTCCGCCGCCTCCGCCGCCACCGCCGCTGTGAACCGCGCCTCGCCGACGGGAGCCCTCGGCTTCTACTCACACGGCGGGAGCGGCGATGGGGCCGGAGCTCGAGGCGATGGCAAGGTGAGCGTTACCACCCACCAACCACCCACTACCACCCACCAACCACCCACCAACCACGCACTATCACCCACCAACCACCCACCAACCACCCACCAACCACGCGCTACCACGCTCTACCACCCTCTACCACCCACTACCACCCACCAACCACCCACCAACCACGCGCTACCACCCACTACCACCCACCAACCACCCACCAACCACCCACCAACCACGCGCTACCACGCACTACCACCCACTACCACCCACCAACCACGCGCTACCACCCACTACCACCCACCAACCACCCACCAACCACGCGCTACCACGCACTACCACCCACCAACTACCCACCAACCACGCGCTACCACGCACTACCACCCACTACCACCCACCAACCACCCACCAACCACGCGCTACCACGCACTACCACCCACTACCACCCACCAACCATGCGCTACCACCCACTACCACCCACCAACCACCCACCAACCACGCGCTACCACGCACTACCACCCACTACCACCCAGCACTCACCACCCAGCACTCACCACCCATCACTCACTGCTGCAGTGACATAGAATCGGTCACTCTGTAGCACTACAGCGCTGGCTGCTGCAGCAGCCCTGACCGACAGCAGGTCACGTGACCGACAGCAGGTCACGTGACCGACAGCGGGTCACGTGACCGACAGCGAGCCACGTGACCGACAGCGGGTCACGTGACCGACAGCGGGCCACGTGACCGACAGCGAGCCACGTGACCAACAGCGGGTCACGTGACCGACAGCGGGTCACGTGACGGAGGGGAAAGGTCACGGAAGGGGCACGCCGAGAGCCCCGCTCGTAGGTTCCAAAGGGGGGGGGGGGGCGTGGCCGGGGGCGTGGCCGGGGGCGGAGCCAGGCCACGCTGACGACGTGGGAGGGGCCCCGTGGAAGGGACCTCGGGGCTGTCGTCTGGAGCGGGATCCCCGCCGTCGATGACTGCTGAAGATCGTCGCCGTCGTCGCCACTCGATGCCGCGCTGCTAGACGCTAGTTGGGTGCCTGAGTTCACCTCCGTCAGTGTCAGATGGCCAAGCGTCGTGGTGCAGGCTAGCGACCAGCGTAGAGTCACGTTGACGCTAGACGCTAGTTGGGTGCCTGAGTTCACCTCCGTCAGTGTCAGATGGCCAAGCGTCGTGGTGCAGGCTAGCGACCAGCGTAGAGTCACGTTGACGCTAGACGCTAGTTGGCTGTCCGGGTTCAGCGTCATCAGTTTCAGACGGCCAGCGTCGTGGTGTAGGCTAGCGACCAAGTAGAGTCACGTTGACGCTAGACGCTAGTTGGGTGCCTGAGTTCACCTCCGTCAGGGTCAGACGGCCAGCGTCGTGGTGTAGGCTAGCGACCAGCGTAGAGTCACGTTGACGCTAGACGCTCGTTGGCTGTCTTAGTTCACCGTCGTCAGTGTCAGATGGCCAGCGTTGTGGTGTAGGCTAGCGACCAGCGGAGATCTCCTTTTGCCAGTACCAAAATATGATAATTGTTTGTTTACCCTTTTTTCTGGCAACTGAACAGTTGTGTTTAGACGTTAGAACACCAAACTGAAACCTCTTACAAGGAATCATGTCTGCATTAGCCACGTATGCCTGTGGTCAGAATGCAAACAAAAAGCATACTGATAGTGTGATGCATTGTCCTTGAAACTGATTGGTCCACACCAGAGACCGCACATCTCATTGGCTGGTTCCCGGCGGTGATGTTACAATGAAGTGCGGTCACGTGACACGGGTGAAGGGGGGGGGGCTCTGAACTTCCTGGGGGTCTTGTAATGAAAAGGCGCTTGGTGATGGTGGTGGTGATTATGGTGTTGATGATGGTGTTGATGATGATGGTGATGGTGGTGATGACGGTGATGGTGGTGATGGTGGTGATGGTGGTGATGACGATGGTGATGATGATGGTGGTGGTGGTGATGATGGTGATGGTGGTAATGGTGGTGATGACGATGCTCGTGATAATGGTGACGACGATGGTGGTAGTGACGATGGCAGTGGTGATGACGTTCACAGGGGGTGGTGGTGATGGTGATGATGGTGATGATGGTGATGATGGTGATGGTGGTGATGGTGGTGATGATGATGGTGATAACGTTCACGGGGGTGGCGGTGCTGTTGATGATGGTGATGATGGTGATGATGGTGATGATGATGGTGATGATGCTGATGACATTCACGGTGGTGGTGGTGGTGGTGGTGATGATGATGGTGTTGATGGTGTTGATAAGTGATGATGATGGTGATGACATTCACGGTGGTGGTGATGATGGTGTTGATGGTGTTGATAAGTGATGATGATGAAGGTGATGACATTCACGGTGGTGGTGGTGATGATGATGGTGTTGATAAGTGATGATGATGATGAAGGTGATGACATTCACGGTGGTGGTGGTGATGATGATGGTGTTGATGGTGTTGATAAGTGATGATGATGGTGATGACATTCACGGTGGTGGTGGTGGTGGTGATGATGATGATGATGGTGTTGAAGGTGTTGATGGTGTTGATAAGTGATGATGATGATGGTGTTGATGGTGTTGATAAGTGATAATTGATGATGGTGATGACATTCACGGTGGTGGTGGTGGTGGTGATGATGATGGTGTTGATGGTGTTGATAAGTGATGATGATGACATTCACGGTGGCGGTGGCGGTGGTGTCGCTGTCTCCCCCAGTACTCCAGCGACGGGGTCTGTCTCAGTGACGGAGGTTCGTCCTCCCACAACACCCCATCTCTCCCCTCCGCTCCATCGCTCCCCGTCTCTACAGAGGTCGGTCTGCGTGTGGAGGAGTCTTCAGCTGGTTACAGGAGGCCCCTCCTTCTCCACGCCAACTCGCACCGCACTGTCACTCGTCACCCAAAGCAAAAACCAGAGGCCCGAACTCTACAACTCAGTTCCCCTTTCTCGTAATCGAGGTGCGTTGGGTTGGGTCGTGAAACCCACCACCACCCGACACAGACGATTAGTAAGGGATTTGTCACGTAAACAATAAACCGCCAGTTAGTTGCCAGTATCTTGTAGTGTATAGTGTAGTGTATAGTGTAGTGTAGTGTATAGTGTAGTGTATAGTAGTGTATGGTGTAGTGTATAGTAGTGTATAGTGTAGTGTATAGTGTAGTGTATAGTGTAATAGAGTGTAGTGTATAGTAATGTATGGTGTAGTGTATAGTAGTGTATAGTGTAGTGTATAATAGTGTAGTATATAGTGTAGTGTATAATAGTGTCGTGTATAGTAGTGTATAGTGTAGTGTATAGTGTAGTGTATAGTGTAGTGTATAGTGTAATATATTGTAGTGTATAGTGCAGTGTATAGTAGTGTATAGTGTAGTGTATAGTGTAATATAGTGTAGTGTATATTGTAGTGTATAGTGCAGTGTATAGTGTAATATAGTGTAGTGTATAGTAGTGTATGGTGTAGTGTATAGTAGTGTATAGTGTAGTGTATAGTGTAGTGTATAGTGTAATATAGTGTATTGTATAGTGTATTGTATAGTTAAGTGTATAGTGTAGTGTATAGTGTAGTCTACTACTTCAGCCCACCGGTGTGTTGGAGAGTAAATCCACAACATTTACATTTTGAGTAGCACGACGTTTCGCTGGTAATTGCAACCAGCATAATCAGGCGATTTGCCAGAATAGTGAAGCAATCCACCTACTTCCGATCTCAAACAGAGCAACATGAACCCATCAAGGTACAGAGATCAGAGGCAGAGGAGGAGGAGGAGGAGTATATTGTAATTATATAACATATTAGTAGGCAGTTAATTAGTATGCGTTTCCTCTATAAGGAATTGTAATCATATTCTTGGATCTTTCGGTAAAGTCACGTAGAAGAGAAACAATTAAAAAAAAAATCAATTCTCACGACGTTTCGACTGCAACACAAGCAATCATCATCAGATCAGAGAGCCCCTCCACTCACTCAGCGTGTCGTGTACTGCTCCCCTGACCCCCTGACCCCGAACACGTGGCTGTGTAGTTGTTTGTGTGTGGGGATGTCCCCCGGGGCATCCTCTGCATATGCAATGTTTGTGTGTGAGTGCACGTTTGAACTTTTTTCGCACCGTACGTAGACCAACCGCGCTAATCTCTGGGTCTCTGTGGGTTTCTTTGCGTGTATCTGTGAGTATCTGTGGGTCCTCTCCGGGTCTGGGTGTCTGTGGGTCTCCGTGCGTTGTCTGCGTCTACGTTTGAACTTCTCTCGCACCGTACGTAGCCAACCGCGCTAATTGCCGGTGCGTAGAAGGCCTACAAACTAAACACAACGACAGGAAGCATTTCTAACGAAATTAGTTTACAATTTAGTATAGTGGTGTAGTGTATAGTAGTGTAGTGTATAGTAGTGTATAGTAGTGTAGTGTATAGTAGTGTAGTGTATAGTGTTTAGTCTCGTACATAGTTCAGTAGTAGATAGTAGTGTATAGTGTAGTGTATAGTGTAGTGTATATAGTAGTGTATAGTGTAGTGTAGTGTATAGTGTAGTGTATAGTAGTGTAGTGTATAGTGTCGTATATAGTTCAGTAGTAGATAGTAGTGTATAGTGTAGTGTATAGTTCTGTAACGTTTAGCGCCGCATATAGTAGTGCAGTGTATAGTAGTGTAGTGTATAGTGTAGCGTAAAGAAGCGTAGTGTATAGTAGTTCATAGAAATGTAGGAGCGCAGTGTACTGAAGTGTAGTGTACGTTGAACTTGATAATTGGTTTTTTACCCTTTTATCTGGCAACAAATCTGACACCTTTTTTTTTACAAGGAGTCGTGTTTACATTGACCACAATACCTGCGGTCGGAACGCAAACAAAAATCAACAACAACTCTGATAATTTTGATTTAAAGCTTTCGTGACTGCAGTAATTCATATTCTTAGTTTTTTCGGTAAAGTCACGTTGAAGAGAAACAACAAAATAACAAAATATATATAAAACAATAAAAAATTCTCACGACGTTTCGACCATAACTCAAACGGTCATCATCAGGTGTGTCGGTTTGCATAAATTTATTTTGAAAACGGCATATTTATTTATTTATATATATAAAAATAACGTTTGCGTCACGCGCAACGATGGCAGTTTGCCAGGACTAGTCCTTATTCACCAAGGTTCCTGTACCTGACACCATTGCAATCATTGAAGACTTAGTTCATCAAGGACTAAACACTGAGGTACCCCCCCTGGTGAGACACTGTTTAACCAATACATACTTCACTTGGAATGGAACTTTCTACAAACAAACTGAGGGCACCCCAATGGGCTCCCCCCTTTCTCCAGTTATAGCTAACATTTTCATGGAGAAATTTGAGACTGACGCCATCCAGACTGCCACTCTGCGCCCAACCTTATGGAAGAGGTACGTGGATGACACTTTTGTCATCTGGCCACATGGCCGGCCTGCTCTAGACCAATTCTTCGACCACATCAATTCCATACACCCAGCCATCAGATTTACCATGGAAGTCGAAATAGATGGCAAGATACCTTTTTTGGATGTCCTAATTAAAAAGAGACCTGATGGTGCAATGAGCCACTCTGTCTACAGGAAAGCTACCCATACGGATGCTTATCTGAAACCGGATTCCCACCACCATCCATCACAGAAGAATTCTCTCATCAAGACTCTGTATCATAGAGCCCAATGCATATCCGACCAGGAACACATAAGCAGTGAACTCAAGCACGTACACCAAGCTCTTAGGGCTAATGGTTACTCCGACTATACAATCCGCAAAGCTATCACTCAAACCATGAAGAAGAACCCTCTTGAGGAGCCTTTCAAAACCATCACTTTACCCTACATTGCTGGGATCACAAAAAAGATCTCCAAAATCTTGAATAAACACAAGATCCAGGTCCGTTTCAACACATTACATAAAATCCGTGATCTGGTTCCGTCTGTAAAAGATGTGATTCCGGACATACAATACCCTGGTGTCTACAAACTAAGTTGCCTCTGTGGTAGTAGTTACATTGGAGAAACCAAACGCCATATCTCGGACCGCATTCGTGAACATAAAGCAGACCTTAAACACGGTAGGACCAACACCTCGGCCGTAGCAGATCATTGTTCTAATTCAGTAGGCTCACATGCCATTGACTTTTCCAAGACGGAGGTTCTTTGTAAGCCATCTGGCTTCCATGAGATATTCGTTCATGAGGCTATCCACATATACAAACACAGAGACAATTTCAACCGAGAAGATGGATTCTATCTTAGCAATCATTGGAAAGATTTGATAAATCATTTCAGTTCTTGATTGATTGTTCACGCTTACAGTGCCTTTCAGACAGCATACATAAAAACAAATTTCGTCTCCCCCCCCTCCTCTTTTCAAAAAATAGATGGACTAGTCCTGGGCAAACTGCCATCGTTGCGCGTGACGCAAACGTTATTTTTATATATATAAATAAATAAATATGCCGTTTTCAAAATAAATTTATGCAAACCGACACACCTGATGATGACCGTTTGAGTTATGGTCGAAACGTCGTGAGAATTTTTTATTGTTTTATATATATTTTGTTATTTTGCTGTTTCTCTTCAACGTGACTTTACCGAAAAAACTAAGAATATGAACTCTGATAATATTCTTAGTTTTTTCGGTAAAGTCACGTTGAAGGGAAACAACAAAATAATAAAAAATATATAAAACAATAATATATAAAACAATATTAATATATATTTTATTATTTTGTTGTTTCTTTTCAACGTGACTTTACCGAAAAAACTAAGAATATGAATTACCGCAGTCACGAAAGCTTTAAATCAAAACTCTGATAATGTATGTGGCACTGTCCTTGAAATTGATCGGTCCACACCCGAGACGGCTTTCTTTAGAGGCCTCGTCTCACGTGGGTGTTGGACCAGAAGACGCCAAAAGGCGTCACACAACTCAAAGGCAATGCACCATCAGAGTATGAGAGCTCGGGGTAAGAATTTACACCATTGGAAACCTCATTTGCCAGTAACAAAAATATGAGTTTTGTTGCCAGATAAAAGGGTTAAAAACCAATTAGCATATTTTGTTACTGGCAAATGAGGTTTCCAATGGTATGTTGAACTTCTTTGGCACCGTACCTAGCCAAGCGTACTGCAAACAGAGGTGCGTGGGAATAACAACAACAAACGAAACACAACAACAACAAACGAAACACAACAACAAACTAAACACAACAACAACAACAATAAACGAAACACAACAACAACAAACTAAACACAACAACAACAAGCGGTGGTGGCGAGTCGTCGTAGTAGTTTCACTTTCATGAATTAGGTATTTAACCCCGTGAGCCATGCGGCTCTCGACTCGGGTGCAACCACAACAAAACAAAATCACGAACAAGAAAAAAACATCTTAAAGTGACTACGCGCAACAGAAGAAAAAAAATCTGGACAAAAAAAACCCCAGCAAAAGTCTTCCAGAAAAAGCACCGCGTTTCAAACAATAACGACCATGAGACTTCGTGCCTCGGTGAATGTGTATGCTCTGACTTTAACGTAGCTATTTCTGTGAGCAGTTACAAGCTAATCACTCAGCTATTTCAATGCTAAATTCTATGCTAATTCCATTGTCAAGGGGTGCCTCTGCGGATGTGTATGCTTTAACTTAGCTATTTCAATGCTAAATTCTATGCTAATTCCTTTAACAAAGGGTGCCTCTGCGGATGTGTATGCTTTAACTTAGCTATTTCAATGCTAAATTCTATGCTAATTCCTTTAACAAGGGGTGGCTCTGCGGATGTGTATGCTTTAACTTTTAACATAGCTATTTCTGTGACCAGTCACAAGCTAATCACTCAGCCATTTCAATGCTAAATTATATGCTAATTCCTTTGTCAAGGCGCTTTGTTCCTCTCACACAGCTTAAAGGTCGTGATCTGAACGTGGCTCTTTCACTCCAGCGCTGTCCTACCAGACAGTCTCGTCCCTTCACCTGATGAAGGCCGCTTGTGTTGTGGCCGAAACGTCGTGACAATTTTATTGTGTTATTTTATTTTATCCATTTATTATTTTATTCTCATTCTACGTGGTGACTTTACCGAAAGAACCAAAGAAGATGAACCATGAGACAATTTCGATTAAAGTTATCAGTCTAGCTCTGTACTACGACACACAAATATGGCTAAGCCAAAACGTTTTCAAAATAAAGCTATAAAAAATGTAACTGTGATTCAAATTTAACGATAAACAATATACGTCACGTGTATGTCCAAAGTTTGCAGCCATAGCTGGCAGTAGCGAGTTGTGCAGTTGTCTGAACTCCCCTTGAGGTGTCGCTGCTGTGGACCACCCCGCTCGGCACAGCCGTGAGCTGAGCGACATCGTGACCCCCAGCACCAACCCTGCGTCTCGCGTCTCCCTCCCCGTGTCTCCCTCCCCGTGTCTCACATCTCCCTCCCCGTGTCTCCCATCTCCCTCCCCGTGTCTCCCTCCCCGTGTCTCACATCTCCCTCCCCGTGTCTCCCTTCCCGTGTCTCCCTCCCCGTGTCTCCCTCCCCGTGTCTCCCTCCCCGTGTCTCCCTCCCCGTGTCTCACATCTCCCTCCCCGTGTCTCCCTCCCCGTGTCTCCCTCCCCGTGTCTCCCTCCCCGTGTCTCCCTCCCCGTGTCTCCTCCCCGTGTCTCACATCTCCCTCCCCGTGTCTCCCTCCCCGTGTCTCCCTCCCCGTGTCTCCCTCCCCGTGTCTCCCTCCCCGTGTCTCCCTCCCCGTGTCTCCCTCCCCGTGTCTCCCTCCCCGTGTCTCCCTCCCCGTGTCTCCCTCCCCGTGTCTCCCTCCCCGTGTCTCACATCTCCCTCCCCGTGTCTCCCTCCCCGTGTCTCCCATCTCTCTCTCCGTGTCTCCCTCCCCGCGTCTCCCTCCCCGTGTCTCCCTCCCCGTGTCTCCCATCTCTCTCTCCGTGTCTCCCTCCCCGTGTCTCCCTCCCCGTGTCTCCCTCCCCGTGTCTCCCATCTCCCTCCCCGTGTCTCCCTCCCCGTGTCTCCCTCCCCGTGTCTCCCTCCCCGTGTCTCACATCTCCCTCCCCGTGTCTCCCTCCCCGTGTCTCCCTCCCCGTGTCTCCCTCCCCGTGTCTCCCTCCCCGTGTCTCCCTCCCCGTGTCTCCCTCCCCGTGTCTCCCTCCCCGTGTCTCCCTCCCCGTGTCTCCCTCCCCGTGTCTCACATCTCGCTCCCCGTGTCTCACATCTCGCTCCCCGTGTCTCCCTTCCCGTGTCTCCCTCCCCGTGTCTCCCTCCCCGTGTCTCCCTCCCCGTGTCTCCCTCCCCGTGTCTCCCTCCCCGTGTCTCCCTCCCCGTGTCTCCCTTCTCCCTCCCCGTGTCTCCCTCCCCGTGTCTCCCTCCCGTGTCTCCCTCCCGTGTCTCCCTCCCCGTGTCTCCCTCCCGCGTCTCCCTCCCCGTGTCTCCCTCCCCGTGTCTCCCCCCCCGCGACCTCTGGCCAGGTGCCACCCGGCGTGGCCGTGCTGCAGGGTGCCGCGTGCCCCGAGTCGGTGTGCGAGTCCGCCGCTCGCCTCCTCTTCATGAGCATCAAGTGGGCCAAGAGCGTCCCCGCCTTCTCAGCCCTCCCTCTCGGGGACCAGGTTCGATCCCCCGGCTTGCCGTGCCGGTCGCACATCGTTATTGGGGCGTCGCGGTGGCTAGGAGATGTTGACTACCTCGCCTGGTACGCAGGAGGATCGTGGGTTCGATCCTGACCCTGACGATGCCTGCTGCTGCTGCTGCTGTAGATTTGGAGTCTGCGTCTCTCTCTCTCTCATCATCACGGTGGCTAGGAGATGTTGACTACCTCGCCTGGTGTGCGGGAGGTCGTGGGTTCGATCCCGACCCTGACGATGTCTGCTGCTGCTGTAGATTTGGAGTCTGCGTCTCTCTCTCATCATCGTCATCAAGGTGGCTATGAGATGTTAACTACCTCGCCTGGTGTGCGGGAGGTCGTGGGTTCGATCCCGACCCTGACGATGCCTGCTGCTGTAGATTTGGAGTCTGCGTCTCTCTCTCTCTCATCATCATCATGGTGGCTATGAGATGTTGACAACCTCGCCTGGTGTGCGGGAGGTCGTGGGTTCGATCCCGACCCTCACGATGCCTGCTGCTGCTGTAGATTTGGAGTCTGTGTCTCTCTCTCATCATCATCACGGTGGCTAGGAGATGTTAACTACCTCGCCTGGTGTGCGGGAGGTCGTGGGTTCGATCCCGACCCTGACGATGTCTGCTGCTGCTGTAGATTTGGAGTCTGCGTCTCTCTCTCTCATCATCATCATCATGGTGGCTATGAGATGTTGACAACCTCGCCTGGTGGGCGGGAGGTCTTGGGTTCGATGCAGACCCTGACGATGCCTGCTGCTGCTGTATATTTGGAGTTTGTGTCTCTCTCTCATCATCATCATCACGGTGGCTATGAGATGTTAACTACCTCGCCTGGTGTGTAAGGAGGTCGTGGGTTCGATCCCGACCCTGACGATGCCTGCTGCTGCTGCTGTATATGTGGAGTTTGCGTCTCTCTCTCTCTCCGCGCGGTCGCGTGGATTTTCCCCCCTCCACATTTCGAATGGACACGGTGGCGAAATGTTAACGAGCTCAACTAGAAATCCCTTTTACGTTCGTCGAGGTGACCAAATGTGAAAGTTATCGTAGTTTTCTTTGTTATTGCCATTTTATACCTTCACACTCGTGCAACGGGAGTCTTCACCAATGGCTCTCTCTCTCTCTCTCCCTCTCACGTGCGGTACAATTTCACGCGTTTACAAATCGCCCCACGTACTACCCGCTGGTACCCACGCCCGCCCCCAGGGGTCTGCATACCCCTGGCTGAGACCCCCACGAGAGGCTCTGTGCGCGTGTGCCCCACACAGCTGGTGCTGCTGCAGGAGGGCTGGCGGGAGCTGTTCGTGTTGGGCATCGCGCAGTGGGCAGTGCCCGTGGACCTGAGCACCCTGCTGGCTGTGGCAGGTGAGAGGGATTGTGCACAGGTGTGTGTGTGTGTACAGGTGTGTACAGGTGTGTGTACAGGTGTGTACAGGTGTGTGTGTATACAGGTGTGTGTAGAGGTGTGTGTACAGGTGTGTGTGTGTGTGTACAGGTGTGTGTACAGGTGTGTGTGTGTACAGGTGTGTGTGTGTGTGTACAGGTGTGTGTGTACAGGTGTGTGTGTACAGGTGTGTGTGTACAGGTGTGTGTGTACAGGTGTGTGTGTACAGGTGTGTGTGTACAGGTGTGTACAGGTGTGTACAGGTGTGTACAGGTGTGTACACACACACGCACACGCACACCTGTACACAAAGATCCCCCATATAGCCTTAACAGACTGTAGGGGCAAGTGCTGTTAGCGAGCACCTATGAAGGCCGGAACGGTACACGAGGGGGTGGGTGGCCAGCACCACGCCCGACCGCCTTTGTCTCCCTAGTGGCGATGTTTACACACCGCACCAGGTACTCATTTCAGGCTGAGTCGACCTAGGGGAGGCCCGGGACCGGTTCAGATAATCGTCACTGGTGTTGGCCGTGAGCGGGAATCGAACCCGGGTCGCCAGGTTCATAGCGCAGCGCGCTAACCGCTACACTATCGCTCCCCACCGTGTGTACAGGTGTGTGTACAGGTGTGTGTGTACAGGTGTGTGTGTGTGTGTACAGGTGTGTGTACAGGTGTGTGTACAGGTGTGTGTACAGGTGTGTGTGTACAGGTGTGTGTATATATACAGGTGTGTGTACAGGTGTGTGTGTGTACAGGTGTGTGTACAGGTGTGTGTACAGGTGTGTGTGTGTACAGGTGTGTGTACAGGTGTGTGTATATATACAGGTGTGTGTACAGGTGTGTGTGTGTACAGGTGTGTGTACAGGTGTGTGTACAGGTGTGTGTGTGTACAGGTGTGTGTACAGGTGTGTGTGTGTGTACAGGTGTGTGCAGGTGTGCGTGTGTGTGTGTGTATACAGGTATGTGTACCGGTGTGTGTGTATACAGGTGTGTGCACAGGTGTGTGTGTACAGGTGTGTGTACAGGTGTGCGTACAGGTGTGTGTACAGGTGTGTGTGTACAGGTGTGTGTACAGGTGTGCGTACAGGTGTGTGTACAGGTGTGTGTGTATACAGGTGTGTATACAGGTGTGTGTACAGGTGTGTGTGTACAGGTGTGTGTGTACAGGTGTGTGTACAGGTGTGCGTACAGGTGTGTGTACAGGTGTGTGTGTACCGTTGTGTGCATGTGTAAAGGTGTGTGTGTGTGTGTACAGGTGTGTTCACAGGTGTGCGTACAGGTGTGTGTACATGTGTGTACAGGTGTGCGTGTGTGTATAGGTGTGTGTGTACAGGTGTGTGTGTACAGGTGTGTGTACAGGTGTGTGTACAGGTGTGTGTGTGTACCGCTGTGTGTGTGTAAAGGTGTGTGTGTGTGTACAGGTGTGTGTAGGTCGAATCACCCTCAAATGAGTACCTGGTGCGGTGTGTAGTAAACATCGCCACTAGGGAGACAAAGGCGGTCGGGCGTGGTGCTGGCCACCCACCCCCTCGTGTACCGTTCCGGCCTTCATAGGTGCTCGCTAACAGCACTTGCCCCTACAGTCTGTTAAGGCTATATGGGGGATCTTTGTTTTTATCTTTGTACAGGTGTGTGTACAGGTGTGTGTACACAGGTGTGTGTGTGTACCGTTGTGTGCGTGTGTAAAGGTGTGTACAGGTGTGTGTGTACAGGTGTGTGTACAGGTTTGTGAACAGGTGTGTGTATGTACAGGTGTGTGTGTGTACAGGTGTGTGTACAGGTTTGTGTACAGGTGTGCGTGTGTGTACAGGTGTGTGTGTACAGGTGTGTGTGTATGTACCGTTGTGTGTGTGTAAAGGTGTGTGTGTGTACAGGTGTGTGTACAGGTATGTGTGTGTACAGGTGTGTGTACAGGTGTGTGTGTACAGGTGTGTGTGTACCGCTGTGTGTGTGTGTACAGGTGTGTGTGTACAGGTGTGTGTACAGGTGTGTGTATGTGCGTACACGAGCTCGTGCATTCAATCCTCGACCCTGACGACGCCTGCTGCTATGTATTTGGAGTCTGCGCGTCTCTCTCTCTCTCTCTCCTCGTGGTCGCGTGGAATTTCCCCTCCACCTTTCAGAGTCGACATCGCCACCGCGTTTAGAGAGCCACTTGCCCGCTGCTGCATGCTGATCCTATGTGATGACGACGATGATAGCCCCACCTCGTCATCGCCCGCGATAGCCAGGCAGCTCGGCGGGGCACTCTACGTGGCAAAATTCACGGCAGCTCTAACCCAACAGCAATAACCCGCGCCCCCCCCCCCCCTTTGTCGGGGGCCCAGGGCTGAACGCGGAGGGGGGAGCCCTGGGTCGCGTGGCGGGCGAGGCCCGCTCGCTGCACGAGACGGTGTGCCGCTTCCGCTCACTGCGCGTTGACCCCACGGAGTTCGCGTGCCTCAAGTGCATCGTCACCTTCAAGGCCGGTGAGCGGGGGAGTGGGTGAGAGGGGTGAGTGGGTGGGGTGAGAGGGGTGAGTGGGTGGGTGGGTGGGAGGGGTGAGTGGGTGGGGTGAGAGGGGTGAGTGGGTGGGGGTGAGAGGGGTGAGTGGGGGGGGTGAGTGGGTGGGAGGGGTGAGTGGGTGGGGTGAGAGGGGTGAGTGGGGTGAGTGGGGGGGGGTGAGTGGGTGGGTGGGTGGGAGGGGTGAGTGGGTGGGGTGAGAGGGGTGAGTGGGGTGAGCGAGGGGGGGTGAGCGGGGGGGGGGGGGTGAGTGGGGTGAGTGGGGTGAGAGGGGTGAGTGGGGGGGGTGAGTGGGGTGAGCGAGGGGGGGGTGAGTGGGGTGAGTGGGGTGAGAGGGGTGAGAGGGGTGGGTGGGGTGAGAGAGGTGAGTGGCGAGAGGGGTGAGTGACGTGAGTGGGTGAGGTGAGAGGGGTGAGTGGGGTAGTGGGGGGGGGGGGGGGTGAGAGGGGTGAGTGGGGTGAAGGGTGAGAGGGGTGAGTGAGTGGGGTGAGTGAGTGGGGTGAGTGGGGTGGGGTGAGAGGGGTGAAGGGTGAGAGGGGTGAGTGAGTGGGGTGAGTGAGTGGGTGAGAGGGGTGAGTGGGTGGGGTGAGAGGGGTGAGCGGGCGGGTTGACTTTGGGGGGGGTGGGTGGGTGGGTGAGATTAGTGAGGATCATGCTGCTTCTCGTGCTCAGTGTCGTGTGGACTAATCTCCATCTGTTCCATCTGGACACGGGCTACACGGGGGACATTTGCCTGTGTGTGTTCGCAGGAGCTGCTGCTGCTGCTGCTACTCGCTCACAGCACTTGCTCCTAGATTGTCTCACAGGCTACACGGGGGACCTTTGTCTGTGTGTGTTCGCAGGAGCTGCTGCTGCTGCTGCTACTCGCTCACAGCACTTGCTCCTAGAGTGTCTCACAGGCTACACGGGGGACCTTTGTCTGTGTGTGTTCGCAGGAGCTGCTGCTGCTGCTACTCGCTCACAGCACTTGCTCCTAGAGTGTCTCACAGGCTACACGGGGGACCTTTGTCTGTGTGTGTTCGCAGGAGCTGCTGCTGCTGCTGCTACTCGCTCACAGCACTTGCTCCTAGAGTGTCTCACAGGCTACACGGGGGACCTTTGCCTGTGTGTGTTCGCAGGAGCTGCTGCTGCTGCTACTCGCTCACAGCACTTGCTCCTAGAGTGTCTCACAGGCTACACGGGGGACCTTTGCCTGTGTGTGTTCGCAGGAGCTGCTGCTACTCGCTCACAGCACTTGCTCCTAGAGTGTCTCACAGGCTACACGGGGGACCTTTGTCTGTGTGTGTTCGCAGGAGCTGCTGCTGCTGCTGCTACTCGCTCACAGCACTTGCTCCTAGAGTGTCTCACAGGCTACACGGGGAACCTTTGCCTGTGTGCGACTCGTGCAGTGGCGGCGTGCGGCCAGGAGCTGAGAGCCCTACGGAGTGCAGCTGCTGTGGCTGCACTGCAGGACGAAGCGCAGCTCACGTTGAGCAGCTACATCCACAGCCGGTGAGGCTACTCACCACTCACTCACCACTCAACACTCACTCAACACTCACTCACTCACCAATCACTCACTCAACACTCACTCACTCACCAATCACTCACTCAACACTCACTCACTCACCACTCAACACTCACTCAACACTCACTCACTCAACACTCACTCACCAATCACTCACTCACCAATCACTCACTCACCACTCACTCACCAATCACTCACCAATCACTCACTCAACACTCACTCACCAATCACTCACTCACCAATCACTCACTCAACACTCACTCACTCACCAATCACTCACTCAACACTCACTCACTCAACACTCACTCACTCACCAATCACTCACTCACCAATCACTCACTCACCAATCACTCACTCAACAATCACTCACTCATCACTCACTCACCACTCACTCACCATTCACTCAACAATCACTCACTCATCAATCACTCACTCACCACTCACTCACCACCCACACTCACTACAACCACAGCCGGTGAGGCTACTCACCACTCACTCACCAATCACTCACCACTCACCACTCACTCACCACTCACTCACCAATCACTCACTCACCACTCACTCACCACTCACTCACCAATCACTCACCAATCACTCACTCACTCATCACTCACTCACTCAACACTCACTCACCACTCACTCACTCACCACTCACTCACCACTCACTCACCGCTCACTCACTCATCACTCACTCACTCATCAATCACTCACTCACCACTCACTCACCACTCACTCACTCACCACTCACTCACTCACCACTCACTCACTCACCACCCACACTCACTACATCCACAGCCGGTGAGGCTACTCACCACTCACTCACCAATCACTCACCACTCACCACTCACTCACCACTCACTCACCAATCACTCACTCACCACTCACTCACCACTCACTCACCAATCACTCACCAATCACTCACTCACTCATCACTCACTCACTCATCACTCACTCACTCAACACTCACTCACCACTCACTCACTCACCACTCACTCACCACTCACTCACTCACCACTCACTCACTCACCACTCACTCACTCACCACTCACCACTCACTCACTCACTCATCACTCACTCACTCACCACCCACACTGACAACATACACACCAGGTGAGGCTACTCACCACTCACTCACCAATCACTCACTTAACACTCACTCACCACTCACTCACCACTCACTCACCAATCACTCACTCATCACTCACTCACTCACCACTCACTTACTACATCCACAACCGGTGAGGGCGCTCACCACTCGCTCACCAATCACTCACTCAACACTCACTCACCACCCACACTCACTAACATACACACCAGGTGAGGCTACTCACCACTCACTCACCACCCACACTCACTACATACACACCAGGTGAGGCTACTCACCACCCACACTCACCGCTCACTCACTCAACACTCACTCACCACTCACTCACCACCCACACTCACTCAACACTTACTAACCACTCACTCGCTCATCACTCACTCACCGCTCACTCACTCACCGCTCACTCACTCAACACTCACCCAACACTTACTAACCACTCACTCGCTCATCACTCACTCACCGCTCACTCACTCACCGCTCACTCACTCAACACTCACCCAACACTTACTAACCACTCGCTCACTCACCACTCACTCACCACCCACACTCACTACATACACACCAGGTGAGGCTACTCACCACTCACTCACCACCCACACTCACTACATACACACCAGGTGAGACTACTCACTCACTCACCACCCACACTCAACACTTAATAACCACTCGCTCGCTCATTACTCACTCACTCACCACTCACTCACTCACCGCTCACTCACTCAACACTCAACACTTACTAACCACTCGCTCACTCACCACTCACTCACCACCCACCCTCACTACATACACACCAGGTGAGACTCCTCACCACTCACTCACCACTCACTCACTAACATACACACCAGGTGAGGCTACTCACCACTCACTCACCACCCACACTCACTAACATACACACCAGGTGAGGCTACTCACCACTCACTCACCACCCACACTACATATACACCAGGTGAGGCTATTCACCACTCACTCACCACCCACACTCACTAACATACACACCAGGTGAGACTACTCACCACTCACTCACCACCCACACTCACTAACATACACACCGGGTGAGGCTACTCACCACTCACTCACCACTCACTACATGAACACCAGGTGAGGATACTCACCACTCACTCACCACCCACACTCACTAACATACACACCGGGTGAGGCTACTCACCACTCACTCACCACCCACACTCACTACATAAACACCAGGTGAGGCTACTCACCACTCACTCACCACCCACACACACTAACATACACACGAAGTGAGGCTACTCACCACTCACTCACTACCCACACTCACTACATACACACCAGGTGAGGCTACTCACCACTCACTCACCACCCACACTCACTAACATACACACCAGGTGAGGCTACTCACCACTCACTCACCACCCACACTCACTAACATACACACCGGGTGAGGCTACTCACCACTCACTCACCACTCACTACATACACACCAGGTGAGGCTACTCACCACTCACTCACCACCCACACTCACTAACATACACACCGGGTGAGGCTACTCACCACTCACTCACCACCCACACTCACTAACATACACACCGGGTGAGGCTACTCACCACTCACTCACCACCCACACTCACTAACATACACACTGGGTGAGGCTACTCACCACTCACTCACCACTCACTACATACACACCAGGTGAGGCTACTCACCACTCACTCACCACCCACACTCACTAACATACACACCAGGTGAGGCTACTCACCACTCACTCACCACCCACACTCACTAACATACACACCGGGTGAGGCTACTCACCACTCACTCACCACCCACACTCACTAACATACACACCGGGTGAGACTACTCACCACTCACTCACCACCCACACTCAGTACATACACACCAGGTGAGGCTACTCACCACTCACTCACCACTCACACTCACTAAAATACACACCAGGTGAGGCTACTCACCACTCACTCACCACCCACACTCACTAACATACACACCAGGTGAGACTACTCACTCACCACCCACACTCAACACTTAATAACCACTCGCTCGCTCATTACTCACTCACTCACCACTTACTCACTCACCGCTCACTCACTCAACACTCAACACTTACTAACCACTCGCTCACTCACCACTCACTCACCACCCACCCTCACTACATACACACCAGGTGAGACTCCTCACCACTCACTCACCACTCACTCACTAACATACACACCAGGTGAGGCTACTCACCACTCACTCACCACCCACACTCACTAACATACACACCAGGTGAGACTACTCACCACTCACTCACCACTCACACTCACTAACATACACACCGGGTGAGGCTACTCACCACTCACTCACCACTCACTACATGAACACCAGGTGAGGATACTCACCACTCACTCACCACCCACACTCACTAACATACACACCGGGTGAGGCAACTCACCACTCACTCACCACCCACACTCACTACATAAACACCAGGTGAGGCTACTCACCACTCACTCACCACCCACACTCACTAACATACACACGAAGTGAGGCTACTCACCACTCACTCACTACCCACACTCACTACATACACACCAGGTGAGGCTACTCACCACTCACTCACCACCCACACTCACTAACATACACACCAGGTGAGACTACTCACCACTCACTCACCACCCACACTCACTAACATACACACCGGGTGAGGCTACTCACCACTCACTCACCACTCACTACATGAACACCAGGTGAGGATACTCACCACTCACTCACCACCCACACTCACTAACATACACACCGGGTGAGGCTACTCACCACTCACTCACCACCCACACTCACTAACATACACACCGGGTGAGGCTACTCACCACTCACTCACCACCCACACTCACTAACATACACACCGGGTGAGACTACTCACCACTCACTCACCACCCACACTCAGTACATACACACCAGGTGAGGCTACTCACCACTCACTCACCACTCACACTCACTAAAATACACACCAGGTGAGGCTACTCACCACTCACTCACCACCCACACTCACTAACATACACACCGGGTGAGACTACTCACTCACTCACCACCCACACTCAACACTTAATAACCACTCGCTCGCTCATTACTCACTCACTCACCACTCACTCACTCACCGCTCACTCACTCAACACTCAACACTTACTAACCACTCGCTCACTCACCACTCACTCACCACCCACACTCACTACATACACACCAGGTGAGGCTACTCACCACTCACTCACCACCCACACTACATATACACCAGGTGAGGCTACTCACCACTCACTCACCACCCACACTCACTAACATACACACCAGGTGAGGCTACTCACCACTCACTCACCACCCACACTACATATACACCAGGTGAGGCTACTCACCACTCACTCACCACCCACACTCACTAACATACACACCAGGTGAGACTACTCACCACTCACTCACCACCCACACTCACTAACATACACACCGGGTGAGGCTACTCACCACTCACTCACCACTCACTACATGAACACCAGGTGAGGATACTCACCACTCACTCACCACCCACACTCACTAACATACACACCGGGTGAGGCTACTCACCACTCACTCACCACCCACACTCACTACATAAACACCAGGTGAGACTACTCACTCACTCACCACCCACACTCAACACTTAATAACCACTCGCTCGCTCATTACTCACTCACTCACCACTCACTCACTCACCGCTCACTCACTCAACACTCAACACTTACTAACCACTCGCTCACTCACCACTCACTCACCACCCACCCTCACTACATACACACCAGGTGAGACTCCTCACCACTCACTCACCACTCACTCACTAACATACACACCAGGTGAGGCTACTCACCACTCACTCACCACCCACACTCACTAACATACACACCAGGTGAGGCTACTCACCACTCACTCACCACCAACACTCAGTACATACACACCAGGTGAGGCTACTCACCACTCACTCACCACCCACACTCACTAACATACACACCAGGTGAGGCTACTCACCACTCACTCACCACCCACACTCACTAACATACACACCAGGTGAGGCTACTCACCACTCACTCACCACCCACACTCACTAACATACACACCAGGTGAGGCTACTCACCACTCACTCACCACCCACACTCACTAACATACACACCAGGTGAGGCTACTCACCACTCACTCACCACCCACACTACATATACACCAGGTGAGGCTACTCACCACTCACTCACCACCCACACTCACTAACATACACACCAGGTGAGACTACTCACCACTCACTCACCACCCACACTCACTAACATACACACCGGGTGAGGCTACTCACCACTCACTCACCACTCACTACATGAACACCAGGTGAGGCTACTCACCACTCACTCACCACCCACACTCACTAACATACACACCGGGTGAGGCTACTCACCACTCACTCACCACTCACTACATGAACACCAGGTGAGGCTACTCACCACTCACTCACCACCCACACTCACTACATACACACCAGGTGAGGCTACTCACCACTCACTCACCACCCACACTCACTAACATACACACCAGGTGAGGCTACTCACCACTCACTCACCACCCACACTCACTAACATACACACCGGGTGAGGCTACTCACCACTGTTCACCACTCACTACATAAACACCAGGTGAGGCTACTCACCACTCACTCACCACCCACACTCAGTACATACACACCAGGTGAGACTACTCACCACTCACTCACCACCCACACTCACTAACATACACACGAAGTGAGGCTACTCACCACTCACTCACCACCCACACTCAGTACATACACACCAGGTGAGGCTACTCACCACTCACTCACCACCCACACTCACTAACATACACACCGGGTGAGGCTATTCACCACTCACTCACCACCCACACTCAGTACATACACACCAGGTGAGGCTACTCACCACTCACTCACCACCCACACTCACTACATACACACCAGGTGAGGCTACTCACCACTCACCATCAACACTCACTACATACACACCAGGTGAGACTACTCACCACTCACTCACCACCCACACTCACTAACATACACACGAAGTGAGGCTACTCACCACTCACTCACCACCCACACTCACTAACATACACACCGGGTGAGGCTATTCACCACTCACTCACCACCCACACTCAGTACATACACACCAGGTGAGACTACTCACCACCCACACTCACTACATACACACCAGGTGAGGCTACTCACCACTCACTCACCACCCACACTCACTACATACACACCAGGTGAGGCTACTCACCACTCACTCACCACCCACACTCAGTACATACACACCAGGTGAGACTACTCACCACCCACACTCACTACATACACACCAGGTGAGGCTACTCACCACTCACTCACCACCCACACTCACTACATACACACCAGGTGAGACTACTCACCACTCACTACATACACACCAGGTGAGGCTACTCACCACCCACTAACATACACACCAGGTGAGGCTACTCACCACTCACTCACCACCCACACTCACTACATACACACCAGGTGAGACTACTCACCACTCACTCACCACCCACACTCACTACATACACACCAGGTGAGGCTACTCACCACTCACTCACCACCCACACTCACTACATACACACCAGGTGAGACTACTCACCACTCACTCACCACCCACACTCACTAACATACACACCAGGTGAGGCTACTCACCACTCACTCACCACCCACACTCACTACATACACCCCAGGTGAGGCTACTCACCACTCACTCACCACCCACACTCACTAACATACACACCAGGTGAGGCTACTCACCACTCACTCACCACCCACACTCACTACATACACACCAGGTGAGGCTACTCACCACTCACCACCCACACTCACTACATAAACACCAGGTGAGGCTACTCACCACTCACTCACCACCCACACTCACTACATACACACCAGGTGAGGCTACTCACCACTCACTCACCACCCACACTCAGTACATACACACCAGGTGAGGCTACTCACCACCCACTAACATACACACCAGGTGAGACTACTCACCACTCACTACATACACACCAGGTGAGGCTACTCACCACCCACTAACATACACACCCGGTGAGACTACTCACCACTCACTACATACACACCAGGTGAGGCTACTCACCACCCACTAACATACACACCAGGTGAGACTACTCACCACTCACTACATACACACCAGGTGAGGCTACTCACCACCCACTAACATACACACCCGGTGAGACTACTCACTATAACCGGCCATCATCATCGTCACGAGCCATCATCTATCCACTGCTAGAGGATGGGCGTCGCCACAATCGTCCCTCCGAGCAATCCACGCCGCACCTCCAGGAAGAGCTCATTCCATCGCTCGATCTCAACTAAATGTGGCTCTCGCCTGATGAAGCTGGTCGCAATGACTGGCGAAACGTCGTACTCACATTGTTAATGTTGTGGCTTGGCTCTCCAACACACAGCCGGTTAATGCTGTACTAGTATATTACACTATACACTACACTATACTACACTATACACTACATTATACACTACACTATACTACACTATACACTACACTAGACACTACACTTTACACTAGTGCTGTAATAGTATACTACACTATACACTTCACGATACACTAAACTATATACTACACTATACACTAGTGCTGTACTAGTATACTACACTATACACTACACTGTACACTACACTGTACACTACACTATATACTACACTATACACTAGTGCTGTACAGGTATACTCACTACACTATACACTACACTAATATACACTAGTGCTGTGCTAGTATACTACACTATACACTAGTGCTGTACTAGTATACTACACTATACACTACACTATATACTACACTTTACACTAGTGCTGTACAAGTATACTCACTACACTATACACTGCACTATACACTACACTATATACTACACTATACACTAGTGCTGTACTAATATACTACACTATACACTACACTATAAACTAGTGCTGTACTAGTATACTACACTATACACTACACTATACACTACACTATACACTAGTGCTGTACTAGTATACTCCACTATACACTACACTATACACTAGCACTGTACTAGTATACTACACTATACACTACACTATACACTACACTATACTCTACACTACACTATACACTAGTGCTATACTAGTATACTACACTATACACTACAGTATACACTAGTGCTGTACTAGTATACTACACTATACACTACACTATACACTAGTGCTGTACTAGTATACTACACTATATACTACACTATACACTACACACTACACTATACACTACAGTATACACTACACTATAGACTAGTGCTGTATTAGTGACAAATTGGCCACGTTCTGTTTACGTGACAACCCCTTACTAGTAGGCCGTGTCGGATGGTGGCGTGGTAACCCAAAAAGACACCTCTATTTTGGATGATATTGTTCGCGAAAGCCTTTCTACGTGCTCAACTGAAACTATTTTTGATTGTTACCAGGTAAGGCACCACTGGCGCTGCTGTGTAGCCGCGGCTGTTTTTCAGAAGGAACCCTCGACATCACAAATGAGAGCAGCTCAACCAAGCATGGCTTATCACGTGGACATTTCAAAGCGGCAGCCGAGTAACTCGAAACGCGTCCATTTCTAAATGTGGAGGGCAAAACCAACCGGAGGACCCAGGGAAAAATCCACGCGGCCACGGGGAGAGCGAGAGAGCGAGAGAGAGAGAGATGCAAACTATAAATATACAGGGGGCATTGTCAGGTTCCAGGATCGAACCCACGACCTCCTGCATACCGGGCGAGGTAGTTGACATGCAAACTACAAATATACAGGGGGCATTGTCAGGTTCCAGGATCGAACCCACGATCTCCTGCATACCGGGTGAGGTAGTTGACATGCAAACTACAAATATACAGGGGGCATTGTCAGGTTCCAGGATCGAACCCACGACCTCCTGCTTACCGGGCGAGGTAGTTGACATGCAAACTACAAATATACAGGGGGCATTGTCAGGTTCCAGGATCGAACCCACGACCTCCTGCATACCGGGCGAGGTAGTTGACATGCAAACTACAAATATACAGGAGGCATTGTCAGGTTCCAGGATCGAACCCACGACCTCCTGCATACCGGGCGAGGTAGTTAACATCTCCTAGCCACCGCGGTGCCCTAACATCTCATGCCCCCCCCCCCCGCGCGCGCCCCCTCCCCCCTCGTCCCCCCCCCCCACCCACCCCCTCCCCAGGTACCCCGGGGAGCCTTGCCGGTTCGGCAAGCTGCTGCTGACGCTGCCGTCTCTGCGCGCCGTCAGCAGCGCCACCATCGAGGGCGTCTTCTTCCGCAGGACCATCGGCTCCGTGCCCATCGCGCGCCTCATCGCCGACATGTACAAGAGCACCGACGTCTAGACGCCTAGCGGGGGGCACTTATGTCGAGACGCCTGGGGGCACTTATGTCTAGACGCCTAGCGGGGGACACCGATGTCTAGATACCTGGGGGCACTTATGTCTAGACGCCTAGCGGGGGACACCAACGTCTAGACGCCTAGCGGGGGACACCAACGTCTAGACGCCTAGCCGGGGACACCGATGTCTAGATACCTGGGGGCACTTATGTCTAGACGCCTAGTGGGGGACACCAACGTCTAGACGCCTAGCGGGGGACACCAACGTCTAGACGCCTAGTGGGGGACACCAACGTCTAGACGCCTAGCGGGGGACACCAACGTCTAGACGCCTTGGGGCACCGACGTCTAGACGCCTTGGGGCACCGACGTCTAGACGCCTAGTGGGGGCACCGATGTCTAGACGCCTGGATGCCTGGCGGGGGGCATGGACGACGAGACGCCAAGGCACATAGGGGCACCGATGCCGGCAAGTCTAGCGGGGGGCACCGATGTCTAGACACCTTGGGGAACCGACGTCTAGACGCCTGGGCGCAGTGGCACCGACGTCTAGACGCCTAGAGGGGAGGGCCACCGATGTTCAGACACCTGGAGCGCAGGGGAGCACCCACTCCGTCCCCTAATACAGCCACACGCACTGCCAAGTCACCGCGGTCAAAAAATCCGAATCAGAACATTTCGTTAGCTCGGCATCTCCACCTCAACCGTTCCATAGCCCCGCTATGGTCTAGCCAAGTTGGTACCCTCCACCCCCCCCCCACCCCCCCCCAGTGGCAGCTGTCCATGTGTGACACACACACACACACACAACGTGTCCTTACCAACCGTCAGCTGAGCGAACATGTTAGCGAAGAAGATGTAGTGGGCAGGAGCGCTGGATCCCCTTAACAGGGCTCCTGACGGGTGGGTGCACCATTCGTCTGCCTCTGTGAGTTGCAGGCATCGTCACTGGAGTGTCGGCGTTCCTAAAGGTGCCTTAGGTCTGGCACTATGAGGCTGGAGCATTAACAATCAATCCCTCTATGAAGAATCCTACAGGGTGCCTTAGGTATGGCTCTATGAGACACAGCCATAATTAAAGCGTAGTTGAATCCTACAGGGTGCCTTAGGTCTGGCTGTGTGCGACACAGCCATCGCCACTAAAGTGTAGTTGAATCCTACAGAGTGCTTTGGTCTGAATCTGTGACATACAGCCATCGCCACTAAAGTGTAGTTGAATCCTACAGAGTGCCTTAGGTCTGGCTCTAAGAGACACAATCATCACGACTAAAGTGCAGTTGAATCCTACAGGGTGCCGTAGGTCTGGCTCTATGAGACACAATCATTGCCACCACAGCGTAGTTGAATCCTACATAGTGTCTTAGGTCTGGCTATATGAGACACAATCATCACCACCACAGCGTAGTTGAATCCTACAGGGTGCCTCAGGTCTGGCTATATGAGACACAATCATCGCCACCACAGTGTAGTTGAATCCTACAGGGTGCCGTAGGTCTGGCTATATGAGACACAGCCATCGCCACTACAGCGTAGTTGAATCCTACAGCGTGTCTTAGGTCTGGCTATATGAGACACAATCATCGCCACCACAGCGTAGTTTAATCCCACAGGGTGCCTTAGGTCTGGCTCTATGAGACACAATCATCGCCACCACAGCGTAGTTGAATCCTACAGAGTGTCTTAGGTCTGGCTATATGAGACACAATCATCACCACCACAGCGTAGTTGAATCCTACAGGGTGCCTCAGGTCTGGCTCTATGAGACACAGCCATCGCCACTACAGCGTAGTTGAATCCTACAGGGTGCCTCAGGTGTGGCTCTGTGAGACCACAGGGTAAAGAAGATGTAGTGGGCAGGAGCGCTGGACCCCCTTAACAGGGCTCCTGACGGGTGCACCATTCGTCTGCCTCTGTGAGTTGCAGGCATCGCCACTGGAGTGTCGGCGTTCCTAAAGGTGCCTTAGGTCTGGCACTATGAGGCTGGAGCATTAACAATCAATCCCTCTATGAAGAATCCTACAGGATGCCTTAGGTCTGGCTCTATGAGACACAGCCATCATTAAAGCGTAGTTGAATCCTACAGGGTGCCTTAGGTCTGGCTGTGTGTGACACAGCCATCGCCATTAAAGTGGAGTTGAATCCTACAGGGTGCCTTAGGTCTGGTTATATGAGACGCAGCCATCACCACTAAAGTGCAGTTGAATCCTACAGGGTGCCGTAGGTCTGGCTATATGAGACACAACCATCACCACCACAGCGTAGTTGAATCCCACAGGATGCCTCAGGTCTGGCTCTATGAGACACAATCATCACCACTACAGCGTAGTTGAATCCTACAGGGTGCCTCAGGTCTGGCTATATGAGACACAATCATCGCCACCACAGCGTAGTTGAATCCTACAGGGTGCCGTAGGTCTGGCTATATGAGACACAATCATCGCCACCACAGTGTAGTTGAATCCTACAGGGTGTCTTAGGTCTGGCTATATGAGACACAGCCATCACCACTACAGCGTAGTTGAATTCTACAGGGTGCCGTAGGTCTGGCTATATGAGACACAATCATCACCACCACAGCGTAGTTGAATCCCACAGGATGCCTCAGGTCTGGCTCTGAGACACAATCATCGCCACTACAGCGTAGTTGAATCCTACAGAGTGTCTTAGGTCTGGCTATATGAGACACAGCCATCTCCACCACAGCGTAGTTGACTCCTACAGGGTGCCTCAGGTCTGGCTCTATGAGACACAATCATTGCCACTACAGCGTAGTTGAATCCTACAGGGTGCCTCAGGTGTGGCTCTGTGAGACCACAGGGTGAAGAAGATGTAGTGGGCAGGAGCGCTGGACCCCCTTAACAGGGCTCCTGACGGGTGCACCATTCGTCTGCCTCTGTGAGTTGCACGCATCGACACTGGAGTGTCGGCGTTCCTAAAGGTGCCTTAGGTCTGGCACTATGAGGCTGCAGCATTAACAATCAATCCCTCTATGAAGAATCCTACAGGGTGCCTTAGGTCTGGCTCTATGAGACACAGCCATCATTAAAGTGTAGTTGAATCCTACAGGGTGCCTTAGGTCTGGCTGTGTGCGACACAGCCATCGCCACTAAAGTGGAGTGGAATCCTACAGGGTGCCTTAGGTCTGGTTATATGAGACGCAGCCATCACCAGTAAAGTGGAGTTGAATCCTACAGGGTGCTTTAGGTCTGGCTATATGAGACACAATCATCACCACTACAGCGTAGTTGAATCCCACAGGGTGCCTCAGGTCTGGCTATATGAGACACAATCATCGCCACCACAGCGTAGTTGAATCCTACAGGGTGCCGTAGGTCTGGCTCTATGAGACGCAGCCATCACCACTACAGCGTAGTTGAATCCTACAGAGTGCCTCAGGTCTGGCTCTATGAGACACAGCCATCGCCACTGCAGCGTAGTTGAATCCCACAGGGTGCCTCAGGTGTGGCTCTGTGAGACCACAGGGCATTCACAAACCCCTAGCGACGACGATGATAACCTTAAGCGCGCCTCGGCGAGGGTCTTAGACTCGGGCATTGACGCCAAATGGGCTGACGGGCACATCGACAGTGGCTCTAAACTAGGGCTGAGCGATTTGGGGAAAATCTCGAATTGCGATTTGATTTGCGATAAAAAGTCAAGCTTCAGATCAATATTCACTGTGTAATAGATTTAAAACATGTGCTGGAGCATTACCACGTGATACCATCAAAATATGAACTGCTCTATATATTCCGATGCGAGGATGAGGACTTAAAAGATATTAATTGCTGCCAACATGTATTTATTAAAATGTTTCAATTGAAATAGAACAATCAAACATAGAACAATTGTTAAGTTAAATAAATAAGGTTATAATAATTAAAAAACAATTCCAATAAGAAAGTACGAGGACTTTTCACATCGCAAAGAAATCGCAGCCTTTGTGATTTGCTAATCGCATTGTTTCAAATTGCGATTTCGATTTGAAATCGATCAATCGTTCAGCCCTACTCTCAACGCGTCGTTTTGATCAGCTTGGGGTGGGTTGGTTGGTGGAGGGGGGCATTGACCCCCCCCCCCAAAGGGGCTTGTAAACCGTTCAGTTTCGGGGGAGTAAGGCGGGAAGGTTTCCCCGCACGCCTCCGATGAGCACGGTTGGCTACGTACGGCGCGAAAGAAGTTCAACGTACATACACTACACTATACACTCCAATACACACTACACCATACACTACATGCTACAATATACACTGCTGTACAGTACACTATACACTACACTACTAAACTATGCACTACGATACACACTACACTATATACCACACAATACACCACACCATACACTACATGCTACAATATACACTGCTATACAGTACACTATACACTACACTACTACACTATGCACTACGATACACACTACACTATATACCACACTATACACCACACTATACACCACACCATACACTACATGCTACAATATACACTGCTATACAGTACACTATACACTACACTATGCACTACGATACACACTACACTATATACCACACTATACACCACACTATACACCACACCATACACTACATGCTACAATATACACTGCTATACAGTACACTATACACTACTACACTATGCACTACGATACACACTACACTATACACCACACTATACACCACACCATACACTACATGCTACAATATACACTGCTGTACAGTACACTATACGCTACACTACTACACTATGCACTACGATACACACTACACTATATACCACACTATACACCACATGCTACAATATACACTACTATACAGTACACTATACACTACACTACTACAATATACCACTATACTAAATGTAAAAGTCATTTATTTAGAACTGCTTGTTGTAATTAGTTTGTTGTCCATCCCCCCCGTATCTCCGATTAGCGTGGTTGGCTACGTACGGTGCGAAAGAAGTTCAACATGCATAGACTACACCGTACACCACACACACTACGCTATACACTACAATAAACATGTTGAAAACTAATTTCTTAAGAACCGCTTGATGTGTTTTTTTTTCATCCCTCATCACCAAACCTCCGATTTGCGTGGTTGGCTACATCCGGTGCTAAGGAAGTTCAACATGTGCACACATACATCCATACTAGAGGCTTTGTTTTTGGGGGGGGGGGGTTCGATGGCGTAAGTGTAAATGTTGTGTCGTTAAACCCGCCACCACCCGACGCAGCCCGATCGGCAAGAGGGTTTGCCACGTAAACAAACACGTGGCCAATTCGATGCTGAGTTTAGCACTAACCGGTTTTTGTGTGTTGGAGAGTAAACCCACAACATCACCTGTATAGACATACAGTAAACCCACACAACATCACCTGTATAGACATACAGTAAACCCACAAGATGACCTGTGTAGACATACAGTAAACCTACAACATGACCTGTATAGACATACAGTAAACCCACATCACCTGTGTAGACATACAGTAAACCTACAACATGACCTGTATAGACATACAGTAAACCTGTATAGACATACAGTAAACCCACATGACCTGTATAGACATACAGTAAACCCACACAACATGACCTGTATAGACATACAGTAAACCTACAACATGACCTGTATAGACATACAGTAAACCCACATCACCTGTATAGACATACAGTAAACCCACAACATGACCTGTATAGACATACAGTAAACCCACAACATGACCTGTATAGACATACAGTAAACCCACATCATCACCTGTATAGACATACAGTAAACCCACATGACCTGTATAGACATACAGTAAACCCACATCACCTGTATAGACATACAGTAAACCCACAACATGACCTGTATAGACATACAGTAAACCCACAACATGACCTGTATAGACATACAGTAAACCCACATCATCACCTGTATAGACATACAGTAAACCCACAACATGACCTGTATAGACATACAGTAAACCCACAACATGACCTGTATAGACATACAGTAAACCCACATCACCTGTATAGACATACAGTAAACCCACACAACATGACCTGTATAGACATACAGTAAACCCACAACATGACCTGTATAGACATACAGTAAACCCACATCACCTGTATAGACATACAGTAAACCCACAACATGACCTGTATAGACATACAGTAAACCCACAACATGACCTGTATAGACATACAGTAAACCCACATCATCACCTGTATAGACATACAGTAAACCCACATGACCTGTATAGACATACAGTAAACCCACATCACCTGTATAGACATACAGTAAACCCACAACATGACCTGTATAGACATACAGTAAACCCACAACATGACCTGTATAGACATACAGTAAACCCACATCATCACCTGTATAGACATACAGTAAACCCACATGACCTGTATAGACATACAGTAAACCCACATCACCTGTATAGACATACAGTAAACCCACAACATGACCTGTATAGACATACAGTAAACCCACATGACCTGTATAGACATACAGTAAACCCACAACATGACCTGTATAGACATACAGTAAACCCACAACATGACCTGTATAGACATACAGTAAACCCACATCATCACCTGTATAGACATACAGTAAACCCACATGACCTGTATAGACATACAGTAAACCCACAACATGACCTGTATAGACATACAGTAAACCCACAACATGACCTGTATAGACATACAGTAAACCCACATCATCACCTGTATAGACATACAGTAAACCCACATGACCTGCATAGACATACAGTAAACCCACATGACCTGTATAGACATACAGTAAACCCACAACATGACCTGTGTAGACATACAGTAAACCCACAACATCACCTGTATAGACATACAGTAAACCTACAACATGACCTGTATAGACATACAGTAAACCTACATGACCTATATAGACATACAGTGAACCCACAATATCACCTGTATAGACATACAGTAAACCTACAACATGACCTGTATAGACATACAGTAAACCTACATGACCTATATAGACATACAGTGAACCCACAATATCACCTGTATAGACATACAGTAAACCCACAATATGACCTGTATAGACATAAGTAAACCTGTATAGACATACAGTAAACCCACATCACCTGTATAGACATACAGTAAACCCACATCACCTGTATAGACATACAGTAAACCCACAATATGACCTGTATAGACATACAGTAAACCCACTACACCTGTATAGACATACAGTAAACCCACATCACCTGTATAGACATACAGTAAACCGACAATATGACCTGTATAGACATACAGTAAACCCACATGACCTGTATAGACATACAGTAAACCCACAACATGACCTGTATAGACATACAGTAAACCCACATCACCTGTATAGACATACAGTAAACCCACATCACCTGTATAGACATACAGTAAACCCACAACATGACCTGTATAGACATACAGTAAACCCACATGACCTGTATAGACATACAGTAAACCCACAACATGACCTGTTTAGACATACAGTAAACCCACATCACCTGTATAGACATACAGTAAACCCACATCACCTATATAGACATACAGTAAACCCACATCACCTGTATAGACATACAGTAAACCCACAATATCACCTGTATAGACATACAGTAAACCCACATGACCTGTATAGACATACAGTAAACCCACAACATGACCTGTATAGACATACAGTAAACCCACATCACCTGTATAGACATACAGTAAACCCACATCACCTGTACAGACATACAGTAAACCCACATCACCTGTATAGACATACAGTAAACCCACATCACCTGTATAGACATACAGTAAACCCACAACATGACCTGTATAGACATACAGTAAACCCACATCACCTGTATAGACATACAGTAAACCCACAACATCACCTGTATAGACATACAGTAAACCTTCAACATGACCTGTATAGACATACAGTAAACCCACATCATGACCTGTATAGACATACAGTAAACCCACATCACCTGTATAGACATACAGTAAACCCACATCACCTGTATAGACATACAGTAAACCCACAACATGACCTGTATAGACATACAGTAAACCCACATCACCTGTATAGACATACAGTAAACCCACAACATCACCTGTATAGACATACAGTAAACCCACATCACCTGTTTAGACATACAGTAAACCCACATCACCTGTATAGACATACAGTAAACCCACATGACCTGTATAGACATACAGTAAACCCACATCACCTGTATAGACATACAGTAAACCCACATCACCTGTATAGACATACAGTAAACCCACAACATGACCTGTATAGACATACAGTAAACCTACAACATGACATGTATAGACATACAGTAAACCCACAACATGACCTGTATAGACATACAGTAAACCCACATCACCTGTATAGACATACAGTAAACCCACAACATGACCTGTATAGACATACAGTAAACCCACATCACCTGTTTAGACATACAGTAAACCCACAACATGACCTGTATAGACATACAGCAAACCCACAACATGACCTGTATAGACATACAGTAAACCCACAACATGACCTGTATAGACATACAGTAAACCCACAACATGACCTGTATAGACATACAGTAAACCCACATCACCTGTATAGACATACAGTAAACCCACAATATAACCTGTATAGACATACAGTAAACCCACAACATGACCTGTATAGACATACAGTAAACCCACATCACCTGTATAGACATACAGTAAACCTACAACATGACCTGTATAGACATACAGTAAACCCACATCACCTGTATAGACATACAGTAAACCCACATCACCTGTATAGACATACAGTAAACCCACAATATGACCTGTATAGACATACAGTAAACCCACAACATGACCTATATAGACATACAGTAAACCCA